TTTGTCAATGGGATCCATATATGCCAGAATAGCTCTGACCTCATTATGTAGCCAAGGATGACCTTAAATGCCAGATTCTCCTGATTGTACCTCCCAGTGTTCCAATTGTAGGTATGAGCCAGCATACCTAGCCAGACTTCCTTTCTTTGTTTTTCCCCTGAGACAGGGTTTCTTTGTGGCTTTGGAGCCTGCTAACTTTCTTTTTAAATTAATAAATTCACATATACATCTAGAATTTAGACTCTCTATACAAAACAAAATAAAACCCTGAAGAACTGACCCAACATCCCTCCATGATATGACAATCAACCAAAGTGGGAACCAGTTGTCCCTTCAACAAATATGCCCTCCTCTGTGTCCTCTTGTCCTAAGCATCCACACAGTTGTGGGAAGGTCCACAGCCTGCAGAAGTCTGAGTTGCCTAGCCCCCTCACTCTGAGCCTCCTAAAGTCTGCAGGTGATGGTAATGGTGAGAAACTGGGACTTTAGTAAACTTAAAGACCACCCCAGAGTAGCCAGTAAATAACAGCAAATTGGGTGTGGATGCTCACACTGTAATCCCAGCACTCTGGTGGCTGAGACAGGATGACTTACAGGAGTTCTAGACTAGCCTGAACTACACTGAGGCCTTTTCTTCAAAACAGAGCTGGCAAGATGGATCAGTGTGTAAAGGCACTTGCTGCCAAGCCTGATGACCTAAGTTCATCCTCATGGTGGGAGAACAGGATTGATTCCCCACTCACATACACAGTAAATAAGTGTAATAAAAATCTTAAAACAAGTGGGGTGTTGGTGGCGTATGACTTAATCCCGGCACTCATGAGGCAAAGGCAGGCCGATCTCTGTGAGTTCGAGGCCAGCCTAGTCTACAGAGCTAGTTCCAGGACAGGCTCCAAAGCAATGCAGAGAAACCCTGACTCAAAAAAAAAAAAAAAAAAAAAAAAAAAAAAAGACCTTAAAACAACAAAAAAGATGGCAGAAATAGGACTGCCAAGGGTCACCAGGAAAAAAAATATGCCTAAAAGGGCTAAACAGATATCAGAAAACCAAGGCACACAAAAGCACCCAGCAAAGAACTGGGTTCTGCTACCAACCAATACTAATCCCAAACTTTTTGTGTATTTTATTCATTTCAAATTTATAATGACTACATTTATTAATGCAATAAAAAGGAATTCCTTACTCAGTATAATGTGATGGTTGTGTGATAATGTTGTTTTAAGTTTTTATGAAGTTTGTGTTATTTTATAACCATGAAAACAGGATTACATGTTTCTCTTAAAGCAATGTCTTTAAAGAAAGGCTAAACTATAATTCTCAGTATCAAGAAAACTGTCTGAAATGCTGGGGAGATGCTTACTCATTAAAGAACAAGCATAAGGACCTGAGCTCCCATCCTTACCGACATGTAAAAGGCAGACATCGTAATGCAGTAATGGGTATCCATAACCCCAGTGCTGGGGAGGTAGAGGCAGGCTGATCCCTGAAGTCCATTGGTCAGCTAGCCTAATTAAATCTGTGAATTCTGGGCTCTATAAGAGACCGTGTATAAGTTATTAAAATATGCTTCTGCTTCCCTGTGATTCCAACATAATGATAGTTTCCACTTAGGAGCCATTGTGAACATCAGATGAGTAAATATACAATGCATTTTAAATGGAGATTAGTATACAGCAAGTGCAATATATGTTCACAACTACTACTCAGGAAAAAAACTTTCCTACTCAAATTTACCATAGATTTCTGTTGTTTTTCCTTGTTGATTTTTGCTTTGCTTGTTTTTTTTATAGTGCAAGGAATCAAATCCAGAGCTTCCTTCACTCTAGGCAAATGTCTTGCCACTGAGCTACAACTAAACACATTTATTGATTTATTTTTAGTCAAGAAAAAGACTTTGTATTCAGATAGTCAGTATAAGATCATTTCTAAAATTTTAAATATGAATTTAAAGCAAAATTGAATGAAGCCTTTGAAATGAAAGCAGGTCTCCATGTGAAGATAAATGAGGAAAATATTTTTTTTTTATAAGGCACACATAGAGTTTAGGCTGTTCTTAAACTCCCTATGCAGCTGTTATGCCTTGATATCTTTGTGTGTGTGTGTGTGTGTGTGTGTGTGTGTGTGTGTGTGTGTGTCCTGAAACTTGTGGTCTGACCTCCACAGGTGTGCCTGCACTCACACTCACAGACACACACACACCTACCTTTTTGAGGCAGGGTCCCTCTTGTGGCAGGCTAACCAGGGCTTCCGGGTGATTCACCTGTCTTCACCTCCCATCTTGCCATAGAAGTGGTGGGGTTGGCCGTTTGGGTGGAACTGCAGGAACTGCATCCTCCTTCTCACGTGGTTCTGGAGGTTGAATTTGTGTCATTAGGCTTGTGAAGCAAGCACTTTTACCCATGGGCCATCTTCCCAGCTCTTGTCTTGAATTCTAGTCTCTTTGCCTCTACCTCCCTGTGATGGGAAAGCAAGCATGAACCACCAGACGCGGCTTTAGAGATAATGTTAGTGTCCAGACTAGAGCAGCTTATTGTCTCCAGTTGTCTAATATGTCACTATCATTACCGGACCATGACAGCAGCTGGGGAAGAGGGTGGACAATGCCAGGGACTAGGGCCTAAAAGTCAGCTCAGCCGGTAAAGGTGCTTGCTGCCAAGCCTGTGAGCCACATGGAGAGAACTAATTCTGGCACACCCCCCTCCTCCACACAAATAAGTTTTAAAAGCCAGGTACTGGAAAGTAATGGTGCCCAGAAACATAAGAAAAGAAGGACAGACCCCGGCCTCCTGAGGCATTTCTCCTATGGGTCCTAGTGAATATACCTACTACCCAAGATCTGGGAGACACTGGGAAGTAAGCTAGGAGGCTGGAGGGATTGTTCCCACTCCAAATGGGGGCTTGCTGGGGGGGGGGACAGAGCAGTATGGGAAGTGGGGAGTGCCACTGCACAGATTAGAGGGACCGTAGAGCTCCTTCCTTCATCAAATAAGTAAGTAAATGGTGTTTTTACTACTGCATTGGTGTGAAGATTAATATAGCAAGATTATATCTAAATTGGGTTTTTTTTCTCGTTTTAAAAGAAATAAACACTGAGAGTAATAGGATCCTAGGTATTGCTGCTATGGTTCCTGGTGGGCAAGACAGCTGGGAAAAGGAGTAGGAAGGGCCTCAAACAGCTTCTCAAGGTAGGGGTGGCCTGGAAGACTGACCACATGGATTTGCTGAGTTCAAGGCCAGCCTGGACTATATAGTGCCTTACAGAATGAAATTCTGTTTTTTATTTCTGTGGGGTTTTGTTTGGTTTGTTTGCTTGTTTGTTTGTTTGTTTGTTTGTTTGTTTGTTTTTCAGGACAGGGTTTCTCTGTGTAGCTTTGTAGACCAGGATGGCCTTGAACTCACAGAGCTCTGCCAGCCTCTGCCTCCCGAGTGCTGGGATTAAAGGCATGTGCCACCACTGCCTGGCCTGGCTTTGTTTGTTTGTTTGTTTGTTTGTTTTTTAAAGTTAGAGAGAAGAATGATGAGGGAAGGGAGAAGGAATGAGAGAGAGAGAGTGTTCTGGACTGGAACCTAAGATGCATAGCTGATTTCAAGTTTGGGACCTACACTGATAAAGACCTGGTCTGAAGGAAGACCAGAGAAGGTAGAATGGGGCTGTTAGAAGCAGGCATCCAGGCCAGCTTTTGATAGTCACCCAAGGCCCTCCTTGTTTTGACCCATTTTCTCCCCAGTTTCCTCAATAAAATGCAGGACAAAATAGTAAACAAGCACAGGCATGGGCACACCCACCTACACACACACTTAAATGCTGTTGTTATGACTTCTGCCAGATGTGACTGGCACAAGGCAGGGAGGTTCTGACTCAGCAGAAGACAAAGTCAACAGTTAAAAAGGACATCCTACAAATCTTGCAAATACAGTATCCTAACTGGGGCCTATAATCCCAGAACTCTAGAAAGGAAGGCTGCTAGATGTAGGTCTTCCTTCTACCAGGGTTACATAGTAACACATTTCCTCAATAATAATAGTAATTATTGTCACTATATCTTAAGTGAAGAAACTACATGCTCTAGAAAGACCAGAAAAATACTCTCATGCAATCTATAGTAACTGAACATGAGAAAATGTTAAGTCTTGGGATCTTAAAATAATACACATGGTTGAGTCGAATTTGACCCCACAAATTCTGAGCACAAACCTACTATTTCTTTTATCCAAATTAATTTGGGATTCTTTGCTACTGTAGAGTTACAGGTATAATGGGAGGATGAAGATGTCGTTTAAAGTGATCAAGCTATATTCAAACTTTGCACTCCTGTTGACATTTTTTTTTTTATTCAGGGTCTCACTATGTAGTCCTGGTTGACCTTGAACTCACTGAGAACCTCCTACCTCTGCCTCCCAAATGCTGGGATTAAAGTCATGGGCTTTGATTGTTTCCAGTTACTAGTTGGCCAGACTTCGGCCTTGCTAGCTAGCTGCTAGACCTACAGCAACTAGGACATTCAGCATCCAAATCTACTTGCAAATGCCCAACCGAGAAAATATTCAGAAAAGCATGCAAGCGGAATCCTTAAGCCTCCCTTCGACCCTGGTTGAGCAGTTGCCCCAAATCCCATTGCTCAGGAGCGGAGCGCTCTGCTCCAAGTTCATAAAGGGGGATATGAAGAAAAGCATGCAAGGGGCAGATTACTGAGCTTGACTTTACCCCTCATTGACCGGTGGTCCCCAGTCCTGGTGTTTCGGAGCTGAGGTGTGATTTTGGCCTTGGTGCCATCTCCACACCGAGTGCAGACTACCGGGGTGAGGAACAGTTAAGGCCTAAGAAATGGCAGGTGAGCACCGGGAACGGTGACTTATTTGCACAAGTTCATCTTACTAAGAGTCTTTCGCTTCACAGGCCCCTAGAAGGTCGCACTGGGAGCACAGGCCGACTCAGGACCACGCAGCTCCAGGAGCACAGGGAGGGGGCGCTCTCGGAGTTCCCGCCACCCTCGCCGCCTTCCCAGCCGCCCTGCGCGTCCCCGACGCCGCGATCCCGCGACCCCTGAGCTCCTGCACGCTCGCTTGCGGGTCCCTTGCCTCTGCTGCTGCCACTGCCGGGCCATGGCGACTCGCTTTCTGCTGCGGAGTTTCTGCGACACGCGTCTGGCGCTGCCGCCTGCCGGCCGCCGCCTCTGCCCGGCGTCCTCTGGAGCCCAGCGTCGCAGCTACGCCCGGGGCCCCGCTGGCCTCCCCGCCGACCTACTCCGGGGGGACAGCTTCGTGGGAGGCCGCTGGCTCCCGGCCCCCGCCACCTTCCCCGTGCACGACCCGGCCAACGGCACCACGCTGGGCACCGTGGCCGACTGCGGTGTGACCGAGGCCCGCGCCGCCGTGCACACCGCCTACGATGCCTTCTGCAGCTGGAAAGGGGTCTCGGTCAAGGTGAGAGCGCGTCAGATGCAGGCTCCCAGTCTACTGGGAAGCAGATAACCAAAGTGAATCCAGACCATGACACCCCCACCCCCCACCCCAGTTTCCCGGGTGCAGAAAGTCAGAGCAACAACAAAAAGACAAATAAGTTTGGTCGGTGTCCACCACAATGTCAGATCCGGTGTTTTCAAATGTCAAGTAAGAGACTGACAGGGTGCATAATAAAAGTGAGCCGAATAATGTTAGGCAGCGTGTGTGTGTGTGTGTGTGTGTGTGTGTGTGTGTGTGTGTGTGTGTGTGTGTAGGGAGAGAGCACTGTACATGGGAGCTGTATGTAGAGGCTGTGTATCTGTATGTGTAGGCTGCATGTGGAGCTGTGTCAAGGACTCTGAGACAGGATGTATAAGCTTTATTTGGGGAGGGAAAAGTTCAGGTGCATTCTCTGATTTTCGGTTTTAATGGGCAAGAGCTGCCACTTGCTAACAGAGATGGGTGGACAATGGAGGATAGTTGGTAAGACAACAGAAAACTATAGAAATATTCTTCCTCCTTCGTTTATGATATTATACCTGCAGCCAACTGTGTGAAATCATGGCTTCCTTATCACCCACAGCCTCTCTGAAGATAGGTGCCTAGGGGTGCAAGCATCAGTCTTAACATCCACCCACCAGCTGGTAGTTACTGAACACTAGCTACCTGTCACAGCTTGTACTGCTGAGTCAAAGAAGAAGGGGGGAGGGTGCTGGAGATATGGTCCAGCCATTAAAAGCCACTTGATGCTCTTGCAGAATTTCTGGGTTCAGTTCTCAGTCCTCAAACTCTTAACAGTCTGTAACTACAGTTCCAGTCAATCGCAAGGTACTCAGAAGGTAAACATACATTCATGCAGGCAGATGCTCATATACATAAAATCAAAAAATAAATCTTAAGCAAGGAAGTGATGAATAATGTGAGGGGCAAAGGGCAGATATGGGCTCAGAGGTCAGAGGGAAGGGCAAGGTGCAGAACAGAGTGTGATCATGTGTACAGGTCTTCGAGGATGTCCCAGCAAAGTACTGTTTGGGTGGCTTAAGTGACAGAATTGTTTCTCCCTGCAATTCTGGAGGCTAGAAGCCAGAGGTTATGCTGGCTAGCACTATGTCAACTTGACACAAGATAAAGTCATCTGAGAGGAGGATACTTCAATTAAGGAAATGCCTCCATAAGATCAAGTCATAACCCCAACTAACAATCTAAGCAATAGTGGAGAGGCTACCTTAAATGCCCTTCACCTATAATGAGATTGATGACTACCTTAAACGCCATCATAGAGCCTTCATCTAGTAGCTGATGGAAGCGGAAGCAGAGATTCACAGCCAAGCATTGAGCCAAACTCCTGGAATCTAGTTATAGAGAGGGAGGAGTAATGAGCAAAGAGGTCAAGACCATGCTAGGGAAACTCACAGAAACAGCTGACCTGAACAAGTAGGAGCTCATGGACCCGAGTCTGACAGCTGGGGAACTAGCATAGGACCAAACCAAGACCCCTGAACATGGGTGTCAGTTGGGAGGCCTGGGCAGTCTATGGGGCCTCTGGCAGTGGAACCAGTATTTATCCCTAATGGGCCTTGGGAACTCATTCCCTATGGGAGGATACTCTCTCAGCCTAGCTACATGGGGGAGGGCCTAGGCCCTGCCCCAAATGATGTGACAGACTTTGATGATCTGCCATGGGAAGCCTCACCCTCCCTGGGGAATGGATGGGGGGGGGGTTGGTGGGGAGCATGGGAGGACAGGAAGGAGAGGGAACTGGGATTGGTAGGTAAAATAAGATTGTTTTTAATTTAAGTAAAATTTTATTTTTAAAAAAATCAGTCCTAAGCAAGTCTGTAAGGCATCTTTCTTAATTAGTGATTGATAGGGCCCAGTCCATGACAGGTGGTGGTCACCTAGGCTAGTGGTCCTGGGTTCTGTAAGAAAGCAGGCTGAACAGGCTATAAGGAGCAATTCAGGCCTCTGTATCAGCTCCTGCCTCCAGGTCTCTGCCCTGTTCTGAGTTCCTGTCCTGACTTCCTTCAACAATTAACCATGTTATGGAAGTGTAAGACAAATGAACCCTTTCCTCCCCAACTTGCTTTTTGGTCATGGTGTTTTGTTGGAAAATAGAAACCCTAAGACAGAGGTCAAGATGGCAGCAGGCCTGGTTTATTCTGAGGCCTCTCTCCCAAGCTCGTAGACATTGTTCTTGGTTCTGTCAACATCACTTTCTTCTGAGGCCAGCTGCTGATTTAAGGCCTAGCTAAACTCCATCACCTCTTTAAACTTCATCTCCAAGCCTAGTCTCATTCTGAGGCACTGATGAGGTGGGTTGAGACTTCAACACCTCACTCTAGTAGACACATTTCCTCCTGTAACGTCAAGGTCAGCCTTCCTGAGGATATAAGGACTAAGAGGGGTATGGGGAAATCTTGAACAACTCAGGAACATGGCCACTTGGCTTCCAGAACAGCAAAGAAAGCCTTGTTGCCCACAGTGGACCAAGAACTAGGAAGGGATGCAAGAAGCCATCATAGGGGTAGGGGAGGAAAGGATGCTTCAGTCGAGACGTGTGGACCATCCAAGGACTTCAGGGTTACTTTGACTGAGTGCAGTGACAGCAATACTCCATTACTGATGCCGATGAGAGGCTGTAGGAGGGCAGTGTTAGAAACAGACCTGTTAAGAGGAGTTATTGGCCTGCTTTTTATTTTTGTTTGGCTTTGTTAATAAAGAAATTCCTGAGACAGACTAACTTTATAAGGGCAATAATTTTGTTTGTCTTATGGATTTAGCTGATAGAAATCCCAGATCAATAATAGCATGTACTGTTTGGAGGTCTATGGGGCCTCAGTGGCTAACAACTCCAAAAGTTGTAACCCATTCCTGGTACTGGGCTCTTTGTTAGCCTGTGGTACCTAGTGAAGACTTTGCCATCTTGTTAAAGAGTAACTTCATTTTCAATCTGTCGGTCTGTCTGTCTATGGAAGCTTCTACAGTAGAAGATACGTTTCCAATCTTTTTTAAAAAGCAGTTTTTAGCCAGGCGTTGGTGGTGCATGCCTTTAGTTCCAACACTCAGGAGGCAGAAGCAGGCGGATCACTGTGAGACCAGCCTGGTCTACAAGAGCTAGTTCCAGGACAGGCTCTAAAGCCACAGAGAAACCCTGTCTCGGGGAAAGAAAAAAAAAAACAGAGGTTTTTAGTTGGGTGGTGGTGCACACCTTTAATCCCAGCACTTGGGAGGAGGCAGAGATAGATCTCTGTAAGGCCAGTCTGATCTACAGAGAGATCCAGGACAGCCAAAACTACACAGAGAAACCCTGTTTCAAAAAACAACAACAACAAAGAGGTTTTTTAGTGTCATTAAGACTATTGCCAGTGTTATTGGTTACCTCCTAGAACTGAAGACACCATATACTTGAGTCATAGGTATCGAGTTGGAACTGATCTAGAAGCTTCATCTCTACTGGCTATATTGTCGTAATGCTGGCTAGTTCTATGTACATGTGCTGATGGACTTTTTTGTCAACTTGACACAAGTAGGGTCATCTGGAAAAGGGGGATGTTAATAAGAATATGATTGGCCTATAGGCAAGCCTGTAGGGTGGTGCTAGCCCTGAGTGGGCGGTCCTTGGGTATATAAGAAAGTGGGTTGAGCAAGCCAAAAAGAGCAAGCTAGTCTTATGTACTCTTCCCTCTATGGCCTCTGCATCAGTTCCTGCCTCCAGGTTCCTACCTCCAGTTCTTGCCCTAACTTCCTTTGATGATTGACTATGATGCAGAAGTGTAGGATGAAACAAACTTGTTCTTTCCCGAGCTGCTTTTGGTCATGCTGTTTTAGCACAGCAATAAAAACCCTGAGACAGAAATTGGTACCAGTTACAGCTATTGCTGTGACAGACCTGACCACGTGTTTTGGGGAGGATTGTGGTACCACTGAATCTTTGGACTGGAAAAGCTGTTGAGTGCTCAGTGCTCACTGGGCTATTCTGTAGGAGTTCCGAAAATAATGTTGAGAGCAATGCAGGTGATGGAGGCCTGGCTTGTGAAATTCCAGAGGGAGATTTTAAAGTCCTCTAAGGACTCTATCAAAGCCATTTGTGTGGTATCTTGAATTAAGAGCTACTAGAGCAAAACTTTTGCTTTGCTGGGACAATCAATGCTTTTCAGCAGGAGGGGAGAGATTAGTGGTAATTAAAAAGAGACCAACAAGCTGGCCATAGTGGCCCATGCCTTTAATCCTTGCAGTTGGGAGACAGGCATGAGGATCTCTGTGAATTTGAAGCTTTGTAGAGAGAGTTTTAAGACAGCCAAGGCTAAACAAAGAGACCCTGGAGAGAGAGGGGGAAAGGGAGAGAGAGAGGGGGGGAGGGAGAGGGAGAGAGACAGAGAGAGAGAGAGAGCACAATAGAATTGGATGAGGCTGCATCTCATGCCTGGAGTCATCTCTGGTAATGTGTAAGAGTTACCCAGGTGGTACTGGTTTTGAAGGCATAAGGGGCCATTGAGAGACGCTGAGGCTGGATGCTGTGTGGCAGGGCTGGAGTTCCCAAAGAAAGGCCAGGAGAGGCTATTGGCGAAGATGCAGCCCATTAGTATCGGGACAACTCAGTGTTTTAGAAATACCAGTACAAGGGTGGGATGGCCACCAAGGAGAGAAGCAGCAGTGTGGAGTCTACCTGAGCCTGTGAGATAAGCTGTGTGTGCTGTGGCTGGGAGAGCTGGAGATGTGCCTCTGCCAAGCTCAAGCTCAGCTCATCGGCTCAGATAGACAGCTGACTCCTAGCTTTACACAGCTGAACTTCCGCTTTTGCTCTGATCTGATTGGAAGCTTGCCTGGTTCTTCCTTCTTGTAATAAGAAGTCTTGGACTTGTTTTTGGTTTTACAGGAGCTTCCAGTTAAGAGTCTTTGGAATTTTACAAAGATTTGGAGTGTTTAGAGAGACTTTGGGTATTTCAGAGAGAGTTGGAAAATTTTAGGAAGAGTTTGTATGTTTTAGAGAGACTGGATATTTTAAGGAAACTGAACGTTTAAAGTATTGAGTTTCTACAGACTGGAACTTGTAAAAAGTAGCAATGTTTTGCATTGTGAGATGTATATTAGCATGATATCCAGAGAACAAGAAAGAGAAGGTGTGACTTGGTATGTTTCTGTGTGAAGTTGATAAGGGGTCAATCGTGCTGGCTAACTTGACACAAGTTGAGTCATCTGGGAAGAAGGAATCTTAATCAAGAAATATGTACATAGGACTGGCCTGTAGGACATTTTTATGATTGATGATTGATATGGAAGGGCCTAGCCCACTGTAGGTGGTGCCACCCCTGGGTATGTGGTCCTAGGATGGGTAAGAGGGTAGGCTGAGAAAACCACAAGAAGCAAGCCAGTTAACAGCACTCCTCCATGATCTCTGCATTGGCTCCTGTGTCCCATTTTCTACCTCCAGTTCATGCCCTAACTTCCTTTGATGAGGGACTGTAAGAAGAAAATAAACCCTTTCGTCTCTAAGTTGTTTTTGGTCATGCTGTTTTAGTATAGCAGTAGAAACCCTAAGATAGCATGTTACCAGAGGAGAACAGTAATTCTCAGTCTTACCCAGCTGTGAACCTTACAAGTTGTTATAACAACTGGCCTGGCAAGACATGCCCATGTACACAAGTAGTGGCATGAACATCATGGCGTAGTCAATCACTTTCTGATTGAATTTAAGTCCCACTCCACAAGATGAAACCCATACCTGGCACCATTGCCAGGCCAAGAGCCTCTGGGAGAACCTACTTCTGTTATTTCTGCTATTTGGACATAGTATTAAATTGATTCCTAATGGCTTCGTGTTATACCCATAGATGAATGCATCTTTCAACACTAATCAGAGAAGCTTCTTTTTTCAGTAGATGGCGATTAACACAGAGACCAGCAAAGTGGCCAAAGTGTAGAGAAAAAAGATTGGGGAATGCTCAGCCCTAGCCGGAACATCTGTATTGCATTTCCCTCCTCCCAAAGCTCAGGGATCATTTCAGAAGAGGGAGCAGAAAGACTGTAAAAAGCCATAGCTAGAGGATGGATACCAGAAAATGGTGCCTCTCAAACACAGCAGGACAGCTACATATACAAAATTAGAGCAATTGTGAGTAGATACGCAAGCCCTATGCAGGCTCAAACTAGACTAAATCCCAACAGAGAGGGCACATGGGACTTTCATACCCATCCCTAACCATAAAGCTATTGCAATTGACAGCTGCTGGGAGAAGGTGAATCTGTTTTCTTTGAGGGTATTACCCTTGGTAAGTAAGTCAGCCACACTCCAGTGGAAAGCCACATATCCTAGAATATATGGGAAGCACAAATTGGACTTGATAGGTGAAGAAACAAACAAACAAACAAAAAAAGAGCACAAAGTTGGCTGTGTCTGGGAAAATATGATCAAAATACACTGAAAGACTCAATGAAAATAGATACAATATAAAAATAAGCTTACCATTTGAATCTGTAATTATAATAAAAAGTTAGAATAACAAGTTGAAACCCCACCACCACACACACACCCAGTCCAATATCAGCTTGTCCTCATGGATTTGGCTCCAAGATTACAACAGTCTTGGACTCTTAGGGGAACTTCATTCCTGAAGAAGGTGTTGGTGGGTGCTGGAACCTACTGAGGGAGAAGTTCCACATATTCCCTGAAGGAAGTAGAGGAGGACAAAGCAGGGAATGAGACTCTCCGTCCTTGTCCCCCTGAATCTGTACTGAATGTCTCCAAGTCTGAGCTCTCGTCCCTTCCTGAAACCCACTCACCTCCCACCACCACAAATGATGTGTTCTTGAAGGTCTAACTCATGTATAACTTCTGCTTCTGGGCCTGTCCATCACTCAGACTTCCATTATCCTCCCTTCTGTGAAGCAGCAGAACTGGTCCACACACCTTGTCATCAGCCTTACATCTTCCCTTTCATGTGTTTATGGCCCTTTTCCTCCTTGTAAACTAGAGGAGGTGTTCATTTTCCAGGTTGCAAAATACCTGACAGAAGCAATTAAGGACTGGATTTGGCTCACCATTCAGGGGGGTTGGGTCATGATGGTGGGAAAGGCATGGTGACACACTCCATGGTGACTGGCACCACCATCTAGGTACCAGGTAAATACGCATGAGCTTGTGAGGACACTTTAGATTCAAGCTATAACAGCATGACAGGAGGGGAACAGATTCTTATTAACCTCAAATGCTAATGTACTAGTTTCCTAGATAGCAAAAAAAAAAAAAAAAAAAAAAAAAACCACTCCACAAACTTAGCAACTTGTGGCAGAGTGAGTTTTCTCTCATAGTTTTGAAAGTCAAAGGTCTAAAGTGGGTTGGCATGGTTCCCCCCCCGCCTCCTTGAGCTCTAGGGCATAATTTGCCCCTCCCCCAAGTCTTTTCCAGGTTCTAGAAGTTTCCCACAAACCTTGGCCTATATGCCTTATTGTCCTTCTGATGTTTGGTTTTCTGGTTGCATCAGCTCTTCTGACTCTGGCACTCTGTACTGTCACTCTCATGGTTGCACTGGGCCCTGGTTGCTGTCACAAGTTCAGGGAATAAGGCTACGGATAACTGAAGGCTGGTGCTTCCTAAGAGATGTGTTTAGTCTTTTGAAGGTCCTCTAAGGTGGACTGGTGAGCCGTGCTGTGGATGAAGAAACTAGATGGGTCTAGTGAGGGATCCAGAATGGGAACCACATGTGACCATCCACTCTTCTGAAACCCTGAGTTTTGCGCGTCCACACAGCCCCATAGTTAGGGTGAACAGGAAATCTTTGAATTAATAGTCAAGTTAGGATTTTCCCACTTTATGATAGTTTAAGAGCAGTACACATTCAATGGAATTGAGGCTTTTGATCTTTTCTTGAGCTAGCCATGTGTAGTGAAGTTTCTTCAATGCTAGGCCACAGCAACAAGCCATGGCTTCCAGATGACTTGCTATGGGAGGACGCAGTCAGTTCTTGACTTTCTACTGTGTCGCTGAGCTAGACTGCTCCATTGGTCACTTGTGTTAGGAGCACTTTCTCTTTAGGATGTTGTTGATTGACTACCAGTGGACTATTAGGGCAGAACTTCACCATAAACAGACAGGTATCTCTGTCAGCATTCTACAGCTGCTGGGGAGCTTATCAAACACAAATGTCCCATCTTAGAGCTAAAGTCGAGATGTCTAAAACCAAAGTGTTCCAGCAATGGGTTCTTTTTGGGAAGGTGTGATTTAGCTACATGGCCATTTCCTTGTGTCTGTTCAGATGGAGCTTTCTGGATGTGTTTTTGATGTCTGTACCCAAACACACTCACACACACTCGCACGCACACACACAACTTTTTTACCCCACTATGTATTCCTGGCTGCTCTGGAATCCACGATGTAGACTAGTGTAGACTAGACTGGCCTTGAACTCACAGAGATCCTCTACCTTCTGAGTGATGAAATAGAAGCATGGACCACCACACCCAGACCACGTCTTGTTTTTAGAATGACACCATCATATATAAATATATATCATTGAATTGATACAGGCTTGTCTCCTGCCTCAGCTTCCTCCTTGGTTTCATGGTGGCTTCTTCATGCACATATGTCATCATAACCTGCTCCAATTCGTCCCCTTCCATCATTACCTTTCCCAGATGCTCATCCCTTCTGGAAAAAGCACCCATAGACAAACCCAAAAATGTTTTACAAGCTATTGAGACATCACATAGCCTGGTAAAGTTGACACTTCAAATGAACTGTTCCATTAGATGTGAGACTACACACATTTAGGAGGGCGAAGGGTGTTGAGTCATCTTTCTTTCACTCCCCAATTCATTGCTTCTGTGTCTCATTTCTTTTCTAGGAGAGGAGTTCATTACTTCGTAAATGGTATGACTTAATGATGCAAAATAAGGACGACCTTGCCAAGATCATAACAGCTGAGAGTGTAAGTTCACTAGCTTGCTGCCACAAGGAAGAGTCTTCGAGTGGTCAGACCAGAGCTTGGGAAAATGCCTGGCTTCCCCTGACTACTGCCCTGCAGCTTAACAACATGCCATCCTTCGATGACAAAGGGCCTGAGTCATCACGGTGCTCAGAAACACATTTGCTAAAACGAAGTTCATGTGCTCTAGTATATTTGTTGCTAATGTGCAAAAAATAGACAGGGGAGGGGGCTGAGGAAATGGCTCAGCAACTGAGAGCATGCACTATTCCTGCACAGGACCCAAGTTCAGTTCCCCAACTCACATCAGGCAGACCACAGCTGCCTATACCTCTAGCTTCAGGGATCCAATGCCTCTGATCTCTATGGACACCTGCACTCATGGGCACATACAACCCCACAGATAGACACAATTAAAGATAACAGAGCTCAGTATTTAGGAAGTAACTTTGTTTGGAGCTGTATGAATGATGATTTTTAATCATTACAGTTTTTTATTTATTTTCTAAGATTTATGCTATTATTTATTCATGTATGTGTATGTGCACGACCTTTTATGGTTTGATTTAGGGAAAGCCACTGAAAGAGGCCCAGGGAGAAGTTCTGTATTCAGCCCTTTTCCTAGAATGGTTCTCAGAGGAAGCTCGTCGTATTTATGGAGACGTCATCTATACCTCTGCCAAGGATAAACGGGGGCTGGTCCTCAAGCAGCCCATTGGTGTGGCCGCAATCATCACACCGGTATGTAACAAGACCAGCACAGTCCAGGGTGGGAGCCTGGGTAAGGCACTGGGAAACTATGTCTCCTTCCCAGCGAACAGGTGTGACCATCTTGCTCGCTTTGTCACCCTTCTTGGTTTCCTGATTCCTTCCCTGAATGTAGAGGTATGATTCCACACTCTCTGTGACAGTATCAGATGTAGTAGTGTATAAGTAGGAGTAAATGCTTTCTGATTCCTTCAAAAACACGGTGACCTGCAGAGGCTTTTCTGACTTGGCCCAGAGACTCCATCCTGGTATTACCAGGCACCTCTGGAAAGACCTTTGAGATTTTGTCATCTTTAATGAACTTCAAAGGGGACGTGTTCTCTTTTTTATTTGTACCATAATTTTAAAAAATAGTTTTACTTTGTGATTATCATCAATAGCAAAATATTTGTGCTTCTGTGGGCAGGCACAGGGCCAGATTCTGGAGGACCAAGGGCTGTGAATTATGATGCTGCCTCTGCCCAGACTGGTTTACAGTACACTGCTGGGCACCAGATTCCTCTCATCAGCTCTTCCTGGAGGGGCTTGGTGCCTCTCGAGGGTTTGCCAGCTGGTGTCAAGGCTGCTAGCCTCCCCTGTTCAGAACTGTTTTAGATAGAGTCCCCTTGCTACCTAGACCGATGAAGCCTGCCTTGAAGTTCACTATTGCTGGTCACGTGATCTTGGCTGCCACAGTTTCCCCAAATAGGTAAATGGGGACAGTAATAACAAGGAGCTCAATTGAGATATCATAAGGATTTAGTTCACTGGGATTTCAAAGTTTTTACAACTGAAATAGAACATGGACTATTTGAGAGCTTGTTAAAATAAGTTACTGTGGCTCTGAAGAGATGACTCAGTGATTAGGAGCACTGGCTGCTCTTTCAGAAGATCTGAATTTGGTTCCTAGCACCCATATCCGATGGCTCACAACTGCCTGTAACTCCATCTCCAGGGGATCCAGTGCCTTTTACTGGGTTCCTTGACCACATACATACATATATCATACATATACATATACATATATATACATATATATATATACACACACACACACACAAATATTCTCTGTAAATATGTGTGTGAAAGGAATTAAGTCATTAGCCATTTTCAAAGTAATATCACCAATATTTTAAAGAGCCTCAGAACAAATCTAGTTCAGCCCCTGTGTTTATAAATAAAGTTTTATTAGTATACATGGAGTCCCATTTGTGAGCCAGTTTTTATGAGGCAACTGCAGAGATGCAAAGTCGTGGCAGAAACTATACATCCTACAAAATATGGCCCTTGTGGAACACATTGGTCTAGATAGTTTTGTATCAAACTCCCAGACTACGCCCTGCTTCTGTGAACCTTGACCTCCTGGGTCCCTCAAACTGACCAGAGTCAGGTGTTCTGAGAGCTGACCTGCTCAGCAGCAAACAGGTTTACCAGTCAGTTGTGCAATGGAACTGGGACTGGTTCTGCCAGGCCTTGCTTTGGGTCCTGAGGCAGTCTCCATACTCACTTCCTTCCTCTGTTCTTCCAGTGGAATTTTCCTAGTGCCATGATCACCCGCAAAGTGGGGGCCGCCCTGGCAGCCGGCTGCACTGTGGTGGTGAAACCCGCTGAAGACACGCCCTACTCTGCCCTGGCCTTGGCACAGGTGAGTTTCAGTGAAGAACCAACCTGTGTGGTGCCTGTGTGGATACTTGTGAGGGACAGGAAGAAGCGTTTTTGGAATATTCTTCTCTGCCTGTCCTCCTGCTGTGTGCAGAGCATCTGACTTATTCCATCAGCAGCTGTGCCACATCACATGCTGCTTTCTTTAGCAGGGAGAGTTTCAGATTCCTGGTGCTCACATTTTGATACTAAAAGTAATATTGATTCGTCATCATGTTTCATTGAACTAAAAATGTGTGTGTTTCCCACATTTTGGAGCTTTCTTTCACTTTTTAAAATCTTCTAAATAATTTATTTGTTTTATTTTATGTGCATTGCTGTTTTGACTGCATGCATCTCTGTATGAGTGTTGGGTCCCCTGGAACTGGAGTTAAAGATAATTGTGAACTGCCATGTGGGTGCTGGGAATTGAACCCAGCTCCTCTGGAAGAGCTGTCAATGCTCTTAACCACTGAGCTATCTCTTCAGCCCCTTATTTTTTTTTTTTTTTTTTTTTTTTTTAATTTTCATCTCATTTCGTTTTCTTTCTTTCTTGGTTTTGGTTTTGTTTGTTTGTTTTCTTTTTTCTTTTTTGAGACAGGGTTTCTCTGTAGCCCTGGCTATCCTGCAACTTACTCTGTAGAGCAGGCTGGCCTCAAACTCAGAGATGTACCTGCCTCTGCTGAGATGAAAGGCACGTGCCACCACCATTTAGCTTTCCCTCTCTCTTCCTTTAAAGAAAAAAAATGTTTTTACCCTTTTTAAGATTTATTTTTATTTATGTATATGTATTATTTATTTATGTATATGTATTATGTATATGTGTTCTGGGTGAGAATATGTCATGTGCCTGCAGAGGCCAGAAGAGTGTGATGTCAGCCCTGGAACTGGAGTTACAGGTGCTTGTGAGCCCTAATGTGGTGCTGAAGCCCTAATCCAGGTCCTCAGGAAGAGACTGGTGCTTTAAGCCAGCTAGCCATCTCCCCAGCGCTGGTCCCAGTTAAGCCTGTATTCAGTCTAATCTTTTTACTTTTCTGCTTAAACCTCTCAGATGGCTTTACATGTCATGGAGTAAAATACAGGCTTCCTGCAGGGGTCTACGCTACCTCCCAAACTCCCACGCCCTCTGACCCGTCCACTCCAGCAGCCCTTGTTCTGTTTGAGCCACTTGGGCTCCCACTACCCCTTATATCCCGCCAACCTCACCCTCAACTCAGATATTGGACAAACCTTTTCTTCCGGAACATTCTTGCCCAGGACACTTGCTCCTTTGTGTATTTTTAAGATGCTTATTTAGTGGGCATTATTACTGTGCAATGCTATAGCACGCATGTGGAAGTCAGAGGACAACTTTGCGGGGTCCTACCCCCCTCCTTCCTCTTTTATGTGGGCTCCGATTTAGGCTGGTATGCCTGTATCCCGTGATCCCTTGAGCACCTATGGGCTTCCTTTGGGTGTATCCAAGACCATTCTTCAGTCTCCCTCCTCACACAGGTTTTCTCCCTGGAGGTGGCACCTCTACCCATTTATAATCTGTTGCTAGGGTCCCCTGGTCTTCTCATAAACAATGTCCTGATATTTGGGGTCGCTGCCTCATTGCTGCTTTGGCTTTATTTTTGTTTGTTTAATTTTTTGATTAACATACAAAGATATTGGCTTCATGGCTTTTGTTTTTATGAGACTAGTGAGATTTAAAACCTTGCAAACTACTCCAGTAATCGCCACGCTGGAGAGGCTGAGGCAGGACGATGGCCACTAGATTGAGGCCAATGAAGGCTACAAGTGGAGACTCTGGGTCAGAAATATTAACAAACTCAGAACTGACCTGATCCAGAGTCCTGCTATAGACAGTGCCAGGTTCCCAGGTCAGGTGGCTGAGGTCAGGGGTCACTCCACCCTCACTTCTGCTGAGTTAGTTCCATCTGTCTATGCCTCTCTTTCTCTAATTCTGTCCCACAAGGAACTAGCGAGCAGCTTTGCCCCTGATCAGCTCTAGTGAGTTATTTCTAAACACCCCTTCCACACTCTACCCTGTCTACAGGGTAAACAGTCTACTTTCAGTGGAAAAGTTCCTAGAGATTATTCTCAGAATCACGAAAAACCTAGATCTGTTGGTGGACTGAACGGGAGGTGGCGCTAAAGCTCTTACCTAAGATACTGTCTTTAGCCATACCTAAGAGCTTAGCTTATATGTGTGAACCAGCTAGAAAGTGGTAAGCTATTGGTAATGGGAACTAAACTCGGGTTCTCTGAAAGAGCTGTACGTGCTTATAACCACTGAGCTGTCTATCCAGCCCATAATATATATTTTGGGGGCATAGAGTCTCCTATAGCCCAGCCTGGTCTTGAACTCACTGTGTAATGGAGAATGACCTTCAGCTAATGATCCTCCTGCCTCTACCTCCCAAAGGTTGGGGTTGTAGACATGTACCATTACGTCTGGTTCTACTCAGTATGTTTTTATTCTGTTCCAAGGAAAAATTAGATTTTACATTGTCTTTTGAACTAAAGATGTTTATATCTGATTCTGTTTGTTTTGTTTTCCAGTTCAGTCCTTGTTATAGTGTGTTTTCTATTTCTCTTTAAAGCTTGCAAACCAGGCGGGAATCCCCGCAGGGGTCTATAACGTCATTCCCTGCTCTAGAAGCAAAGCCAAGGAAGTGGGGGAGGCACTATGTACGCATCCACTGGTGTCCAAAATCTCCTTTACTGGCTCAACAGCGACAGGAAAGGTATGTGACACCACAGTCAGACAAGTGCTGTTCTAATGCTATTTTATGTTTTTGTTTTGTTTTGTTTGAAACAGGGTCCTGGTTGTCCAGGAACTTGCTATGTAGACCAAACTGGTCTACACAGGGGGACAGAGACCCACTTGTCTCTGTCTCCCAAGTGCTGGGAATAAATGAATGCACCACCACACCTGGCCTGTCATATAAATCTTGAATTGTTACTATGGTTCAAAACTCAACAATATTGGCATTGTTTACCTTTGGCATTGCCCCAGCTCACAATTTCACTGACTCCTTCTTTGCCTTCTGTCAATATTTGGTTTTAGTTTCCTAATACCTTCTTCATGGATTTTTAAAAAAATCAAATCTAAAGAAATAAGAATCTGTAGTGACCAGAATACATTGTATGCATGTATGGAATTCTCAAAGAATATATATTATAAAATATTATAAATTATAAAATAATATATTTTCAGGTCTCCCTTTTCTTACATAAAATATCATCTAAAGCAAGGTGACCTTGTGTACACATTAAATTTTTCATTATTGGGTAAGTTGTAAAACAGATTTCCCAATTTGTCTTATAATTTTTATAATTTTATAATTTGTTTAAATTTGTTTAAAAAAAGATTTAGCAGCCTTGTGCGCTAGTTTTCTGTTGTTATAACATACATGAGAAAAATAACTTAGAGGAAAAGAGGGATGTTTCTGGCTTGTGGTTTAGGTTTCAGCCCATGGGCAGTTGGCTCCATTGCTCTTAGTTAGCCCTGTAATGGGGCAGAAGCATCGTGGCAGGAGGCATTGATAGAGAAGAGCTGCTCACCTTACGGTGGCCAAGAAGCAAAAAGGAAAGGCAGGCCCAGGACCAAGCACATTTCCCTGTAACCCCTTCCTGAGCTAGGCCCCACTCAGCTATGAGCTCCAGCCTAGATCACCTCTCAGTCGGATCACCTGCTGGTGGCCAGGCTTTGGACATCCAAGGCATCAGGGAGGAAGGTACTTCCTTCCTATGCAGACAGTAACACTGATGTGGATGCTCACAGTCTTCTCCTCCTGCTGCACCCCTGCAGATCCTGCTGCACCATGCAGCAAATTCTGTGAAGCGTGTCTCCATGGAGCTGGGCGGCCTCGCCCCATTCATTGTCTTTGACAGTGCCAACGTGGACCAGGCTGTTGAAGGAGCAATGGCATCTAAGTTTAGGAATGCTGGGCAGGTGAGTCATGCAGAATGTTTTAGGGCTGGGATGAGGGTAAGTGTGTATGTTTTACAAAGACCTTGGCACCACCACGGCCTTGCCTCTCTCTCTGGTTCTGTTGTTGATTCATGCACTCATCTGTGAGCAAGTATGTACTGATTAGTTTCTCTCAGGCACTAGTTAGGCTTGGATAGTCCAAAAAGAAGTAAGAGATAGTTTATTGCTTCAGAGAGTTTAGAGAATTGTACATCTTTATTTATGCATATGTGTGTGAATACACATGTATGTAGGTCCATGACCATTTTTTGAGCATGTGCAGAAGCCAGAGGAGGATGCCTGATATCCTACTTAGTTGTCCTGAGGGACTGGGAAAGCTTATGCTTGCCTAGGAAATCCTGGATGTCAGATCTCATAGGCACCATCAAAACTTCTGATATAAACCTTGGAAATGAGAGCAGAAAGGATAAGTGACTTGGGTTATGTTATCCTCAATGTCCTGGAGCTAGGAGCCAAGGTTCCTATATCCATGCTATTGCCCAAGCCACTGCCAGAAGCTGGCTGCTTATGACATACTCTTAGACAACTGGGCCTGAAAAGTGCAGTGAACAGGCCAGAGGTCATTGGCTTTATTTTTACAGACAGGAGCTCCCCTTGTAGCCCAGCCTTGCACTGAACTTGTTCTGTAGCACAGGCCAGTTGGGAAACTCAACCCTCCTGGAATTAGAAGGTGTGTGCTACTATGTCCAGTCCAGTAAGCTTCTTAAATGCTTTCCTGAGCTAAATAGCCTCAAAAGTTTATGTGTGAAAAGGGAAGCTGGCAATGCAAACTATTCTGTATAACTTTTCTTTCTTGTTTTGATTCTTGGTAATTAATTTTCACTTTTCACATAACCCAAATAGTTTTGATCTTGGTGTTGTTGCTTTACCGAATTAGAAATTTTTTTTAAGCAAGCACAAAATGTCAGGAGAGTTCTTCTTCAAAGCTATGGCTTTGAACTGTGTTAAACCAATAAAAAAAACAGGTAGGACACAATTATACATATACTTATTCCTACTAGAAAAGCACAATAAGCAAAAACAAATTTATCAATTGTAACTACATTTCCTATAGGATGGTTATATTTTATTATTTTAAAATATGAAGCCTAACTGGACATATAATAAGTCAGAATCTCAACAGTTTAACCTGACATGGAAGATGGCCTTTAAAAAAAAAAAAAAGGATTTTAGTTTCTTATTCACAAATATTTAGCCAACAAACTCTTTCTAAAGTTACAAGTTTATGAGTTTTCAAAAGAGATTAATTATTTTGTTTTATAAGTATGAGTGTTTTCCTGCCTGCATGTATGTACACTATGTTTGTATCCAGTGCCCTCAGAGGGCAGCAGAGTTGAGTCCCTGGAACTGTTGTGAGCTTCCATGTGGGTGCCAGGACCCGAACCTGGGTCCTGTGCAAATACTCTTAACCTCTGGGCCACCTTTCCAGGTCCCCTCCTAATTTTGTTTTTTTGGTGGTACTAGGAATAGAACCCATGGCCTATATATACCAGCCAAGCAATCTACCACAAAACTTTATCCCCAGTCCTTCTTTTTAATTATTATTTTTAATTATGTATTTTGATTATGTAAGTGTGTCCGCGTGTGGTCAGAAGAGGACATCAGATCTTATAGACATGGAGTTACTGGCAGTTGTTGAACTGAACAACATGGACGCTGGGACCCAAACTCTGGTTTTCCTACAAGGGTTGTAATAACTGCTGAGCCATCTCTCTGTCCCCAAAAGAAAGGCCTTGTATTTATTTTTGAAATCACAGGTTGAGCAAAACACTTGGAAGGACTGAACTGGAGGCTATGAGTGATTGTTTGACCTCATTCCTTCTAGCCTAGGCTCTGCACCTCAGTCTTTTGCTTTTTACACTGTTTGCTTTCTAATAGCATAATAAATGGCTGGTTTTCTGGTTATTTAGGTTTTATTCACACAGCTATTTATTCTTGCTTACATGTTTAGCTCTAGATGTGTGGTAGCTAAGGGGAGACCTGGACAAGTGTTTTTACTCAGTGCATTTATCCCTGGGTCCAAGCCCACCTGGGAAGAACACAGAAGGCTAGACTCATGAAAACTATTTTGGTAAGGGGTGTCTTAAATTCCTTGGATCAGCTGATGCTGAAAAACCAATGGTGGATTTGTTTTTGTTTTCTGTCTAGACTTGTGTTTGCGCGAACAGATTCTTGGTACAACGGGGTATCTATGATTCCTTTGTAAAGAAGTTTGCAGAAGCAATGCAGAAAAGCCTACGTGTGGGTAATGGATTCGAAGAAGGAATAACTCAGGGCCCATTAATTAATGAGAAAGCGGTAGAAAAGGTGAGTTGATCTTATTATCTGCATTAAGGAAATTTTGTGATGTCAGTATCAAAAAGCTTAGTTAAATAAGAGCATTTTCATAAGGTCCCCAGCAAGGCTGTTTTGGAAATAATGGGAAAACACAAAAAGGTTTAAAAATGGACCTCCGGGGATGGGGGGAATTTCTACAACTATCAATGTGTATGATCAGATCGGATGATGGTGCCTGTATTTGCACATCCTAGCTCCACCTGAGAACCTGAGATCAGGCCCCTTAGGACTTCTGCTCTCCCTAAGTTTTCTTTCATAGAAAGCTTTTCCCTTAATATCCTTCAAAAAAAAATTCTAATGAAGGAACCCTGAAAAAGCACTTAGAACCACAAGTGTCCTGCAGGCATCCTGCAGGTTGGAGATGGCAGAGGAAAACTACTTTTAGTAAGGAGTTTGTTGAACATCACAATCTGGGTGACTGGAAAGGGGAGATTGCTCTCTGTTACACTAGTGTTTGTGTGGCTTTAGCTTCATTTTTATTACATGGATTTACTTAGTGTGTGTCTGAGCGTGAGTATGAGGGAGCAGGACACATGTGTGCCACAGAAGAGTCCTTCTCTCTTTCACCATGTGGGTCCCAGGGACAGAACTCATGTTTTCAGGATTGGCAGCCAACACATTTTCCTTCTGACCCACCTTACCAGCCTAGTTTTACATATTTTAATTTGTTCAAGTTATCATTAAAGTTAAAGGTTTCATCTTGGCATTTTCACTTATTATATAAGCAAGGCTTATTATAAAGCAAGAATAGTTTTGCTAGAGTTACGGGCAATTGTAAGCTACTCAACATGGGTGCTAGGAACCAAAACTTGAGTCTTCTGGAAGAACAGTAAGTGCTCTTAACCACTAAGCCATCTCTCCAGATACCCTTTATTGTCTTTTGAATGTGGGTTTTCTCTTAGGCTTGATTTGATCGAGTTGTTTTGGTCATCATTGCCTTTTGAGCAATAGGCTATACCCTATGTAGCCTACACTCACACACCATATAGGCTAGGTATGCAGCATGCTAGACCATCTGGGTTTGTGTCAAAACACTGTATGGTGTTTATTCAGTAGTGAAGTCAGCTAAGGACACATTTCTGAGACAGACTATCTGCTATAGCTAAATAACACCTTTTTATTGGAGATGTATCTAAACATCCCTTCAGCCCAGATAAAGTGGACAAGTGAATCTAAGAAAGTACAGCTAGCCCAGTTTGCAGTGAAGGCAAAGCTCAGAGAAACAGTGACCTTTCCAGAATTGGTTCTCTCCCTTCCACCATGGGTCCCAGGAATTGAACCTTGATTGTCAGGCTTACATGCTGAGCCACCTTTATAGGAAAAGAGAATAAGGAATTATAGCTTTGGCTGTTTAACATTTTAAGAGAGTGTAAGTTTGGGGAAAGTCCTCATTCAGTCTCCCTGTTGCCCTTCTTCTCATCTCACAGGTGGAGAAGCATGTGAGCGATGCAGTTGCCAAAGGGGCCACGGTTGTGACAGGCGGGAAGCGACACCAAAGAGGGGGAAATTTCTTTGAGCCCACCCTGCTCAGCAATGCCACCAAGGACATGCTCTGCATCACTGAAGAGACCTTTGGGCCCCTGGCGCCAGTTGTCAAGTACGTTCTCCCACAGTGGAAGGAAGGAAGGAAGGAAGGAAGGAGAAGATTAGAAGGGGCACGCTGATCTAAGAGAGGGTCCGGTGCTGTTTCAAGGGTGGGGTGGGAGGGCTGAGTGGCGGCGGCAGTCCGAGCTGCACTGCACCAGTTGGACAGCACAGTTGAGTTTATGATACTTCAGGTTTGGTTTTGGGGTTGTGGATCAGCCCTAGGTGTTGTTTCTTGGGAGCTATCCACGTTAGATATTTAGACAGGGTCTCTCACTGGAACCTAGGGCTCCCCAGTTAGAGTAGACTGGTTAGTTAGCAATTCCAGGGTTACTTCTGCATCTGTCTCCCCAAACCTGGGATTACAAGCACTGGCCACCATAACTGAGCTTTCACATGGGCTCTGGGGGGGGTCAGACTCAGCACTTCACCAACAGAGCCAGATATCTCCCTAGTCCCTAGACCCAGGTTTGGTGTCTGTGTTTTGTCTTTGTAACCCAGACTTGCTTAGGACTCCCAACCTTCATGCCTTAGCCTCCCAAGTGTTGAGTTTATAGGCAGACATCATACCCTATTTCAAGCACAAATTCATCAAACTCCTTCATTTAGTTTCATGCTGCCTCTAAACTTACATTTTTTTCCTAATGGACCATACCATCAAGGGCTCTATCTTAGCAGTCTGTAGGAAATGAACTTTGACCTCATATGATGGTTTATACTACCTTAACAAGTAAATAATGGTTTCCCTGGATAATTCTCAGGCCAGTGATCTGAAAACATTCCTTTATCTACTTGGATCCAGGGCCTGTAAGGGCTCAGATCTCAAGCCCTGGAATTACCAGCTGTGAACCACCATGTGGATACTGGAATTGAACCCAGGGCCTCTGTGAGAGCAGCAAGTACTCTTAACCAATCAGCCAACACTCCAGTACCCAGTAGTCCTTTTGTTAAAAGATTTTGTTTGACAATGCCTCTGCCAAGTTGGTCTACCTTTCCATTTCTCTTAGAAAAGTTAGGCCACATTGATTTACCACGTTTTGAGAAGGCTAAGTTGCTATGTCTGCATTTGTATTCCATCTGTGTGTTCTCCCCCTTGGATCACTTTGCAACTCTGATCTCCTTCTTGTCATTATTTCAGAAATGAATCAGGAGACAATAAAGCTGGTTGTCTTTATTCTTCACCTTACAGATTTTGCTTATGATCTACTTTAACTCTGGCAGGTTTGATAAAGAAGAAGAGGCCATTGCCATTGCAAATGCAACTGATGTTGGATTAGCAGGTAGGTGTCTGTCTGGCAGTCACAATAGTCATTTCCTCAAGTAAATGCCAGGTTCTGACTTTTAAGCATTACTCTTGAGTTTGTGTTTGTTTTCTTTTGTTTTTGTGACAAGGTCTTGCTATATAACCCTAGGTTGTCTGGAACTCTATATAGACCAGACTGGCCTTGAACTGCAGAAATTTACCTGCCTCTGTCTCAGATTGCTGGAATTAAAGGCATTCACTACCTTGCCTAGCAAACTTAAATAATGTGTACTCTTTGTTTCTTTTTGCAAGCATGTTCCTTTTCTCCTGTGTCCCCATGACACACATGTAGTGTTCTGGCTAGAAATGAGGGTGGGAGACAATGGGGGAAGAAGCAGATTGTTCTAGATAGAGAGTCACACACAGTTTCCCAGAGGCATAATGCCCAGTGCTTTTCCACATTTCCCTGGCACTGACATCCTGAAGAACCCTCATCAGCAGAGTTACAGGCAGTTTCTAGAGATGGGAAGTGTGTGTGTGTGTCTGTGTCTGTGTGTGTGGGTGGGTGTGGGGGGGTGGGGGGGTAGGTGGGTGTGGGTGTTGATCATCACTAGGTGGCTGCTATTCTTGTAGTTTGAGATGATACTGAGGATGTACACATTGGTTCTGGGTGTAAATGTAGAACTGTGGGATACAGAGGTATCGAAGATCATGAAAGTATACAGCAGGTGATAACTCGTGTTCAGGTGTCAACCCACCAGAGGAATGATTCTCTGTTGGAGGAGAATCCCATCCAGACAAGGCCTGTAGGACCACTGATTCTGGAAACTCTTGCTCCTGGCTATAATTTCACACTTGCAAAAGCAGCTATGGTGTCTTCCCAATACTGTACTATAGTGTGTAATCTCATGTGATGTGTGTATGTAATCTTGTGATTGCATCTCAATCTTATGGGCACATATATCCATGGATGGTCAGGAAGATGACTTCTCATTAATTGTCTAATTTTGACATATAGAAAATATACTAGGACATGCTTCATGACTAGATCTATTGTCCCATGAGAACTGTATAGCACTTAAAAGCCTGCTTTGTTCCTTTTCCTCAGACTAATATCAGAAAACAACAATTTCTCCTCAGTCTAAGACAAGCTACACACAATTAACTCATTTTTACCTATGCATTTCTATGAATGGATCTTAAGTTAAAAACTTTACAGTTATACACAAGGTCAGAGTCGCAGGTGTCTAAGCAAGGTTATTAACACAAAGCAGCCTAAAAAAATCAGGCCAATTCCTCTCTTGCCAAGTCTAGCTGATGAAAGAAATAAGTCTTGTAACTTGTCTCTCAGGGCCCTGCGCCCCCAGCATCTGGTCACAATCTTACACCAGCAGCCTAGAAGTTTTAGTTGCCATGGTATATGGTTTGGCCCTTATCGCTTACCCAAGGAATGTGCTATGACCAATGAGATGTGACTTTTGTAACTTTTTTATTGCCCTAAACCTCCTGTTTTAAAAAAAAAAAAAAAAAATGTTTTTAAGCTAGGTAAACACAGAAGTAGGGAGAATTGGAACATAGGAGAAAATTAGAGGACAGAAAAATAGGCAGAAGAATAAAGAACATGACTTGAACAGCACATGTGTGAGTTATTCCATGACCCTTCAGATTAGAAATATCGTAAACTCCTTTTGCTATGCTGTGACTTCTGACCTAAACCCTGGAGATAGTCTTGGGAGCTGGACTTGCAAGCTACCAATACAGAGGTATAAAACTTCTCTGTCTTTTGGCTAAAATCAAGTGTAGAGATGCACATAAGATACAGCTGTAACTCTCTAGAGACTCCTTTGTGGATATAATGCAAACTGTAAAGAGAGGAAGACAAGCATGCTATGGAGTTGAATGTGTGCTGTCACACACTCAGTTTTCATGGCAACATGTAGCCCATGGCTTCTTCAAGTTCAAGATCAACACTCCTTTCTTCCTTTTTCAGTGGTATGATGTGAAAGAAGCCATGCCTTATCTTAGGTCCTAAGTGATAAGTGAGATGCTGTCTGTAGAGATTAAAGAAGTCGAGGCAGAAAAGCCCAAGCAAGTTCAGATGCAACATGATGATGAGTGAACCTGGATGGATGAGTTTAGAGACAGTGGCTATCAAAATGAGTCAGGAGTAAGCTGAAAGTGCTGACTGAAGCCACACTCTGTGTGTGTGTGTGTGTGTGTGTGTGTGTGTGTGTGTGTATCAAGGGAGACTGACCTCGAGGTTTGGACAGATATCTAAAGGAGGGTGGATTGAAGAGCAGAAAACGAGAGCACGGAAGTTCATGGTTACAAAGTCCTGGTGTGGAGAACCCCAGCATGAGAGAAACAGAAACCCAACATGGTTCCCAAGGTTCTTAGCATGAAAATGTGCACAAAACCAACCTGAGGCCTTACCTGCAAGCAGGAGAACCCCAGATCCATGTGACCAGGCATCCTCAGAGTCAGGTACATATGACCTTCATGAGAATTCCTCATGCCGAATGTGTCCTTTTGTTCTTCTGCTAGGGTACTTTTACTCTCAAGACCCAGCCCAGATCTGGAGAGTAGCAGAGCAGCTGGAGGTGGGCATGGTCGGCGTGAATGAAGGACTGATCTCTTCAGTGGAGTGTCCCTTTGGTGGGGTGAAGCAGTCTGGCCTTGGGCGAGAAGGGTCCAAGTATGGCATTGACGAGTATCTGGAGGTCAAATATGTGTGTTATGGAGGCTTGTAGGGTTCTTCATCTCTTTAAAAATAATAAAACTACCTAGATCTGTAGGGACATGCCATCCATTTTTAAAATAAACAAGTAGGTTATCAGAGTTAAGAAGTTTAAAAAATTCAGACAGTCCTCATCATCATAGATGTAAATCCTAACCCTTCCCTTATCTAACTAGGGACCAATGGATGCCATATACCTGTGGCTGTGTGTCCTAGCCAGTACTGGGACCCCAGCACAACCCCACTGCCTCAGGACAAGGTACAGTGTAAGTGCTCACATATCCCTGTCCCTCACAAAGTGTAGTCTCTGTGTGGGCAGTGGCTCCCCAGTCCCCATGGGACTGCCCTACTTGGGCCCACAATGCAGGGGAAAGAAATGCTGGAGGGATAGACAGTTGGATGGGGGTGGTTCTCACATCTGGGCCTGGGCAGCTTGGTGACCAACAGCTGCCTGTTCAGAGGGGTTGTGGCAAAGGCTTTGGTTTCCTTAGATTTCTTTCTAAATGGCACACAGGATTGCCTGTACCATAGCGAATGGAGGTGTTTGTTTCTGGGCTACTTTTTTTTTTTTTTTTTTTTTTTAATTTTTTTCTCCCCTCCCCCCTTCAAGACAGAGTTTCTCTGTATAGCCCCAGCTATCCTGGAACTCAGTCTATAGACCAGGCTGGCCTCAAACTCAGAAATCTGCCTGCCTCTTCTTCCTGAGTGCTGGGATTAAAGGTGTGCATCACAACCACCTATCTCTGGGCTGCTTTATTAATTGCTGAGAGTAGAGTTGGTTTTTGTTCTGTTTTGGTTCATCTTCATTTGGTTCAGTTTTATGAGACAGGGTCTAGCCTAGGCTGGCTTTGAACTCACAGTTCTCCTGACTCAACTTCCCAAGTGCTGTGGTTGCAGGTGTGCTCTCCACAATTCCTGGGTAAATGGAAGTCACCATTGCCCTAACTTAATGCTTATGCTTTATTTCTCTTATAAAATCAACCCAAGATGGGGGCAACAATCAGCAGAGGTGGTTTGGTAGGATGGAAAGCATGGCTTTTGTTTCTTTCCCAGTGCTCGGAATTTAATCAATGCTGCCCTTGTGCATACTAGGCAGCAATGGAGCCCCCTGCTCCATACCCCTCCCTGTGTAGAGAGGTCACTCACATGCTCTGTGGATGCTCTGGCAATGAGACGACAACATGGATGATAGCAGAGCTGGCTGCAGTGATTCTTAAACACTACTAGGACCCAAGCCACTGGGAGCTTCAAACAAGGACTTCATGGTTTCAAAGGTCCCTGTGCATAAGACGAAGAACTCTATCTCCTAGGGACCCTGCCCAAGTGACAAAAACCACAGCTCAGCATGTTCATAGTCTTTTCTGTCCTCTTTCTTCTATAGTAATTGGTTTCTATTGCATTTCCTAACTAAATTTAATTAATTTTTTGTGGATGTGGGTGTTTTACCTGCATATATATGTCTGTGCACATGCATGCTGGTACTCTCAGAGGCCTTAACAGGGCATCAGATAACCTAGAACTGAGCTACAGGTGGTTGTAAGCCACTATGTGGGTGCTGGGAGGTGAACCCTGGTCCTCTGAAAGAGCAGCCACTGCTCTTAACTGCACAGCCATCTTGCTAGCCCCAACATTTTTAATTTCTTAAGATTTGTGTCCATCTTTTTCAATTAATACAAATGCTCTGCTGCTATCTTGTAGATGAATACACATGCTGAGATATGAGTAAAAGTCATTTCAAATATGCTTTAAACAGTGGCAGCCAGTGGGTTTAGCAAATTTTTACTTTTTTGTGCATATTTGAGTCCCTGGATATATCACTGGCTCTTACATTTGTTATAATAAACATAAGCACTTTTTTGTAATTAAAATAATGGGGTGGGTATTGGTGGTAAAATATATACTTAGCATGATGGAGGCCATGAGATTAACCATCACCACTGAAAATAAGTTAACACGAAAGAACATCATACTTAGAAAAATGGTTTGGGGTTATAGGAAGACAAAAATTGGTATTTTCATATATATATATATATATATATATATATATATATATATATAGTTTTGTTTTTAACATGAGCTCTTATTGGCCTTAAATTCCTGGGCTCAAATGATCCTCCTGCCTCAATTTCCCAAATAGTTGCTACTATAGGTATGTTTTCACCAAATCAATTTGTTTTTTGAATTTTTAGGGTTTTTTGTTGAGTTTGAGTTTCATATAGTTCATCTTGAAACTCTCTTACCCCTATACTACCATGCCCAGCTAAGAAGTGTTTTTAAATGAACTTTTATTGTTTAATAAGATATGTGATGGGTGAAATTTTTGAAGATGTATATACAGACATGTAAGGGCAAGTGTTGATGAACGACAACCTGTGAACCAAACCCTGTCACTGCTTTTATATAACTCGTGAGTTTAAGTATTTTATATATTCAAATGGATTGGGGTGGGTTAAATTCCACTGCCCTGTGCCTGAGTAGCTTTGCTGAGACAGTAAAGCCTGCAGGACCCAAAGAAAGGATTTACTGCTAGGCTGCTAAAAGGTTACAAATCCTGGCTTAAACTAAGAGGGAAGACACTGGCCTCTGTATGAGACATTGTTTCATTCTGTTGGACACCTGCTGTGAAGAAGGCACGTTTTCTGGACATTGATTACCAGGAGTTCTTGGCAGTAATCATCTAATAATGTTAGCCTGTCCCCCCTGAAAATTCCCTCCAGTTAGTGGCGCCCACTGAAAGTGCCAAAGTTTATCATGTCTTTTCCCATCTGAGGGGCCTTTAAACATGACCCCATGGAAAGCGCTTGTTTCTTTTCTGTATCTTTGTTCTTTGGGACCTGGTGAAAATAAAGATCAGTTGCACAGTGTAAACAAGCCTGTTCTATGTCACAACCTTCAAATTGGATCCCATGGGTTTGCCTGTTTGGAGGCTGGGTCCCAGTGTTTTAATTACCCATGTGCAGCTATTTAAAAACAGGATTTTACTTGAATAATACTTAATACTGTGATTGTTTCATGCCATACTTTGTGAGATAAATCTTGGGAATTGAGAAATATTTTACTCTGTAAACACTGACTCGTTTTTTCTAGTGTTTGACATTGTCTGGTCAAAAGCGTTGAATCTCATTAATAAATGTTGAACTAACAGGACTTCCTTTCTCTGTGTTAAAGTGAGTGGCTGTGTTGTCTTTGCCTTTTTCTACACCAGATCATTGTTGGGGTAGTTTTTTGTTTAGTTTTTTTTTTTTTTTTTTTTTAAACCATTTGAGTTTTAACTGCATAGTGTTAGACCTGTGGGGATGCAACGAACCCCACATTAGTGGGGTACCTTGCACCAGGACTAAGACATTTGCAGCAGCAAGTATTCAAGAATGACGTATTTGCTTGTTTGGGATGTGCAGCTGCCTAAGGGCATGATCCAGCCTTCTCCAATCTGTCTTCTACACACTCAACTGTTAGCCACTTTTCCAGTCTTTTATTTTACAGCAAAGTATGAGAAAGTCATTTTCTGAGTCCCTGGAATGCGGATATGATCCTCGAATATGAACACTTGTCTGAGTGCATTTTCTGTTGCTAATAACACAATACCACAGCTTGTGTAAGTTGTATTGTTTTGGCTTGTGGCTCTGGTACAAGGTCAAGGCATTTGATAGAGTCCCTAGACAGTGTAGGACATTGTACACGAAAGACCTGACCAAACTGGCCTTTACAGCGAACCCACTGCTAAGACACTGCATTAATCCATTGAGTTCGTGGGTGAGAGCATCCAGGAAGGCAAAGCCCTAGTCATCTCTGGAAAGGTCCCATATGACCCCACCTCCTGGGCCTACAGATTGCCCTCTCTGCATTTCCCCATTGGGCTGGAGCGCTCCTGGGAACCCTCTGTGGTAGTCACCTCATGACACTACTAAAATTGATTAGGACCCACCCTTACGGCCTCATTTTGAGTTTCTTAAAGGGCTCACTTCTTCACACATTCTAGAATTTGGGAGTTAGGAGTTCAACGTATGGGTTTTGGTCACGAGGTTCCTGTGCCTGGGCAACCGTCTTCCCTCAAGTTAGACCTTGGAATGTTGACATGAGCTTTCCCTCCCCATCCCCAATGCCCAATGAGTCCATTTAAGGAGCAACAGCAGCGGGAACTCCAGGCAGAGCCTTGATCAGGGTTGAACAGAGACCAGGACAAGCGCAAGCTCTCAGGCCTCCAGGCGCAGAGTTCCCCTCAGGTCCCAGCTGGACATGATGAAGGCAGGACTTACTTCACAGGTCACCAAGACTGAAAGGGTTGGCTGTCAACTTCGCGCACCACCTCAGTATCCTATCCGGCCTACAGCAGCTCACAGACCTGATGTCTTCCCCCTCCCCGCAGAGTGCACAGGGAATGAGTAGCAACTGTCAGAGGCACAGACACCCCCCTCCCCCACGCACAGCTAAGATCGACTAGGGGGACTTTCTCCCCAGGGCGCCACAACAAAGAGGACCGTGGATGAACCCCAAGACTGCTCAGAGGGTCTTCTCCAACCCCTGGCTTGCCGATGAGTTCAGGAAGAAACAGCTGATGAGGGTGATTAGCCCCAAGGATGGAGGCCAAGACAAATCCCAAGGAACCGGAGACGCGGCCAGACACTGGCATGTCCATACCAGGGGCAATTTCCTTCACATGCTGGGGGGTCCACAGACTTCTGCCTCCCGGGGAGTCACTTCAGCCATGGGAGAGCAGAACACAGGAGAGCTGGAAGCCTCTTCCTCTAAGAAAAAACGAAGTGTGTTCTGGGGCAAGGGAGGAAGCCGACCTAGGGAAGAGGCAGGGGACACACATATTTTACACCTTTGAAGAACATTTTTAAAATTCTCGTTTTCATAAGGAAAAAGCGTGTTAGCCAGCTTTCTGTCGCTGACCACAATGCCTGAAATAGTGAATTGACAAAAAGGAAGGGTCTATTCTGACTCACCGGTCCAGTCCACCTCTGTGAGCTGCTTGCTCTGAGAGCGGGGGCCAGGCTGAGCATCAACCCCCCTGGACAGTGGGAAACGGTTCCCAGGGCGGGTGGGGAAGCAGATCCAGGAAGGCACGCACCCCAGTGAGGTCACTTCCGTCCACCGGGCCCCACCTCTTACAGATTCCAGGGCCTTCCCACAGTAGTAGGGGCTGGGGGATCAAGCCTTCCACACACTAGACTTTCGGGGACGGTGTCTGGAGGGTCATTGTTGTTGAGCTGATGCGTATTTGGCTCATATACTTTTGGAAAACTCAGTAAAATACAGAATTCTTGCAAGACAATGATGGTCAAGGAGACTTTTAATTCATATACCTAACGTAGCAGTTTAGTCTCAGAACAGGACCTCCACAGTTTACCCCAACAAAATTGCTAATAGACTGGTTGATATAAACACCTTGGAGACAACTTCTTGGCAGAGGAAGCTCAAAAATTAAATCATACAGAATAATTCTACAAAACTAGAAAATTCAAGGACATTGGTAGTGAAGTTCAAGGGAAGGTGTGTCTATGAAGGGTCCCAGAATCTTTTGGGGTGACATTAGCTTGATTACAGAGATAATCATACATCAAAATCAAATTGTATTTGGTATATGCAATTTATTCTAAGTGAACTATAATACCTCAATATACTTTTTAAAAATGTGACCTTTTTCCCCAGTGCCTGAGAATTTAAGGTCCCACACATGCTAGATAAGCACTCTCTTTTTTTTTTTTTTTAATAATTTGTTTAACTTTATTTTATGTGTGTGAAGGTGTCAGATCCCCAGGAACTGTAGTTACAGACAGGTGTAAGCTGCCATGTGGGTGCTGGGAATTGAACCCAGGTCCTCTGGAAGAGTAGCCAATGAATGTTCTTAATGGCTGAGCCATGTCTCCAGCTCAAACAAGCACTCTTACTGAGCTGCAGTCTCAGTCCTAAATTGACTTTATTTTTGACAAATAAGTCTGGGCTGTCTGTGCATGGCGGCACAAACCTTTAATCCCAGCACTGGACAGGGAGAGCTCTCGGTAAATTACAGGACTACATTGTCAAAACAAAAAGAAAGAAAAAGAAGATGAGCAATTTAAATAAAAAAGAAAGAAAGAAAAAGAAAAAGAAAAAAAAAAGCCAAATGTAGAGGACATTTGGCCCTGCCTGATCTACTCTTCTTACCACCACAGCTGTCACTTACAGTCTATCCTTGCCAGCAGGGGACTGTTCTTCAATACTGAGAACCCTGCTGATCTGAAAATGGTCAATTCAAGCTGCCTGTCTGACCTCAAGAGTATTTGGCCCTCTAGTCTTCAGAAATTGTGTTTGTTTTCCTAGTACAGGTCCAGATAATAAGTGTTTTAATCTTTGTTTTTGTGACAAGCTTTCTATACAGCCTTGACTGTCCTAGAACTTACTCTATAGACCAGGCTGGACTTAAACTCCCAGAGATCTGCCTGCCTCTGCCTCATCAAAGGAATGCATCACTCACTATACCTGGCAGACAATTCCTATCACAGTTTCTTTAAAACTTTTTTGTAAGATAAGAGCAGCCATGGAATCCATACATAAAGGAATGAATGAATATGATCATCCTCCAAAAAACTGTTAATAGACACAGATTTGAAATGTGTATCTATAAGGCATGTGATCAAAACAGTTTAATTTCTTTTCAGCCATCTGAAACATAAAACCCAGGGCTGGGGATGTAACTCAGTGGTAGAGTGCTTGCCTGGCATGCACCAGACAGACACCTGGCTTCCATCACCAATACTAAGGAAGAAAAAGAAAAAAGGTAACAGCAAAAACATAACAACCAATTCTTTTTTAGCATGTGCAACATGAGAAAACATGTCAGTTTTCTGGCCCATCTAAGGAAAATCTCTCTACATGGAAGCATAAGGAAAATATATTTCTCCTTCAAAGGAAACACTAGAGAAAACATGAACACTTTTCTTTTTTGGTCAGCACTTATATTTAATAGTATTACACGAGAATCAACACCTTGTCAAAATGTGTGGAAAATAATACATTGAAAAGGATAAAATCCCCCTTACCAGCAGGAAGTAGTTTGGAAAGAACGATGCCCAGATTCCCAAATATTGTCTATAAATGTTTGTTTTCATTTAAATGGATTTGGTTATATATAAAAAAAAGAAAAGGATAAGATCAAGACTCAGAATCCATGGGAACTTGCTCACCTTTTTCTTACTTCACTGGATGTTTGTTTGCTTGCTCGAGATAGGTCTGTAGCCCCGGCTGGCCTTGAATACCATATGTAGCCATGGATGGTGATCTTGAACTCTTGATCATCCCGCCTCCACCTTCCAAGTGCCAGGATCACAGGTGACTGCTGCTCCCTGCTTCACATCTTTGAGGTGTTTTAAATATGCTCCGCTGGGGATGATGGGGTTCGGATCTTTGTCTAAAGCAGCAATTAGCTGTGCTTGCAGGCAGCCTCAGCCCTATAAGTGCTCTCCCCTATAAATACTCTAGAGCAGCAGTTCTCAGCCTGTGAATCGACCCTTTCACAGGGCCGCATATCAGATATCCTGCATATCAGATATTTACATTATGATTTATAACCATAGCAAAATTACAGTTATGAAGTAGTTAGGAAATAATTTTATGGGTGAGGTCACAACATGAGGGGCTGTATTAAGGGTCATAGCATTAGGAAGGTTGAGAACCATAGCTCTAGAGACTTGTTTTTCTGTTTACAAACAGTTCTTAGTGTCTTCAGATCCTAAGATCCCTAGGTATAAACAGCACAAGATGAATGCTGGGTGGCTCTTTTGGTCCTCAGGTATCAATCAAGTGGGTCACAAGACAGAATCCATTTTCTAGTAACCACTGTGATGTTTATTTCTTATTTGCCATACAGTCAAGGTTCTTTTGTGATGAATGGATTGGACAGGCCAGGTCTAGATAGCCAGGGACAGAACCAGCAAGCTTGTTGCAAACCTAGAGGGAGGGGTAGCTCAGAGTGTATGCCAATGGAAGAGACTGGGTCCATGATCCCCCACTTTGCCTTTAGCTTTCACATGCACTCAAAGGTTTCCTCTTTGCCCCAGCAACAGAACGTTCAGGGTTCTAAAAGGCTTACCAGGATCTGCCCTCCAGCACTAAAGGCTGGACTTATCCAAGCACTGGAAAGTAGGTCCTGGCACTTGACTCCCAAATCCACTGCTGACTGTGACCCTGGGGAAAGCACTTATGCTTGAGTGAGCATCTATGACATAGGAATATCCCCTTTCAAGATTAATTGTACAGGTCAACTAATTATGAGCAATCAATACATTATGCATGTTTATGCATACATAAAGCAGTAGGTATTCACAGGCTTCACTGTTATGTTCTATTGTTCTGTCTTGGGCCACATTCTCTATGCCAGGAATGTATAGTTCTCCACAAAAAAATAGCATCATACTAATTGGAGGATAGAGAAGATTCTATTCATGAAACTAAATACTAGTGTTTAAAAAAATCACTTTACCTCTAACGATAATATAGATAATACTGAACTAGGACTATAGGCATAAACAAAGAAATCACTTTTAAAATAAAAGTACATTGCTACACATTTTAATTTGACCATTTCCCTAGTAAAGTATATTAAGTATAGTACAGTGAACTCTTACTCATGGTATCTTGTTACCTATAACTCAGAAATAAAAATTTCCAGAAATAAACAATTACTAAACTTTAAGTTGTGGTTCTGATTCTCCTTTTTTCTTCATTCTTTAACACAGGGTCTCATGTAGTCATCAAACTCAATGCTTAGCCAAGGCTAGCATTGACCTCCTGCTCTTCCTTGCTCTTCTTTCCCAGATGCTGGGACCACAGTATTGGGCTCTTCTACTCTTTGAATGCCAAGGATATTGCCAAGGCTACCGGCCTTGGTCTGCAGGCAGCTGGGCAAACTACCACAAGTCTATCAATGTCTCAGGCTGCAGTTAACTCATGCTCTAGTGTGTCACTTTGTGGAAGGACATGGTTTAATTCCTTTCTGTATAAAGAAATAAAATAGGACTTAGGTTTTTAAATTTTAAATACGTTTATTTTATGTACATGAGTATTTTGCCTACATGTATAAACTCTGTACATTCCTGCTGCTGCTGGAGGCCAGAAGAAGCAAGGCTCCGCCCCTCCCCTTGAAACTAGTGTTATAGATGGTTGTAAGCCACCATGTAAGTGCTAGCAACTGAACCACCATCTTCTGCAAGAGCAGTGAATGGTCTTAAGTATAGCCATTTCTCCAGTGCCTTCCATACACTTTTAAGCATAAATAGCGAAATTTCTGTCCCATTATTTCCATGGGAAGTCTTTGTAGGAACTCAGAGCATGGTGACCACACTCCCCTCATTGAGAACATATTTCAGAGTTTTGGAATATGTCTGCAGTTACTGAATCCTTCCCCTTTTCTGTGGCAGTGCTAAGGTACACCATACTCAGTAAGATTTCAAGGGAATAAGCAGTCAGTTTTAATGTCCACTAGGGCTAAAAGAAGCCCCACCATGATTTCCTTTTCTTAGAGAGGGAGGATGAGAAGAAATGAGAAAGACGGAAAGAGAAGACTATTAAAGGCTACCTTCAACATTCAACCTGCAAGTCCTTAGCCCCTTCCCATCTCTATTGCCTACTGTCCTTGCTTCCTGATTCTTCCTAACTCCTGAACTTCTAGCCTAGCCGGCAGTTGGCTACATCACAAGCATCAAGGCCAACACAGAAAGCTGCTGCACACAGATGGCTCCTGCCTCTTAGATGAACTACAAGCTGACCCTACCGGTCCTCTGAGAAGCCACCTCTGGAAGATTTTTCTTAAAAGTCTTCCTGTCACAGCTTCTACAGAGAAATCAACCCTCCTTAATTGTCTTTCCTCTAAGTAGGAACAAGTGTTAGCCTTATTTCAGAATGAGGCTTGAGCAATAAATATAATAGCATGTCCACTACAGAGACACAAAACTCTTTTCAGTACTCTGCAGAAGTTTTATGTGCCTCCTTTCTCTATTAATGAGCGTTTGTTGAATAAGCAGTATTGTGTTTTGTCTTGAAAATTCCAAGGACCAGGTCTTTTAGTAAGTATGCGGAGCGCAGAGCAAGGCTCCTGGGAAGGGCTGATAACATGCTATGCTGAGCAGGAGTCAGTTTTGTGTTTTAACTCCCACTGTCTGGTACCGGGTGACAGACCCAAGAGGTCCTTCCACACACAGCCCATTATCTGTCCTTTGCATAGTAACTGAAGGAATCTCCGTGTCTGGCAGAGCCATTCAGGGAACCCTTCAGGATTCCCCTCTCCATCCTCTCTCGACTGAATAGTGTATCCTGGTCGCTTTCAAACTCAGACTCTGACACCATCAGGCTAGAGTTGTGCTCCGTGCTCCGGTGTTTGATACCTGGGGAGAGAAGCAGGAAGAGCATGAAGGCAGGACCACGTCTCCTTAGCTGCCCTTCTTGCTGTGTCCCTGGGAGGGCTGTGGCTTGACACCAGCTTCATGAGCCTGGACAAGGCATTTAACCTTTCCTTCTCTGTTGGAAGGTGACAACGTTCTCAGCCATCGGTTTGTGGTGAGGACTGAATGAATCTGTTCCTGAGAAGCCCTTCACCCAGCTTTTGTCACAAAGCAAGCACTGAACACACAAACGCTACTGTGGAGTTCTCAGTTTAACCCCATGAAATATTTTTGATAGGTGATTTGATTTCTGGGGGATCAAAATGAAAAAAAAGAGGATTAAGATATGATCTCTAATATCAATCGATAGTGTCTAATATGAAAATATAAAGGTTTTTGGGTGTGCAGGGCCGTGGCATACCTGTGGGCCAGATATGATACCATGTGAGATGACTCTCTGCAAATACCTCCAGGCATAGAACCTGTGTTGTCAGGCACCTTTACCCACCGAGCCATCTCACCAGCACTATTGCTTAAAATTAAAAACAAAACAAAACAAAACAAAAAAAAACCTTACAGTGTCTAGCTAAGGATTTAAAACAGATCCTTGAGTGTAGTGGCATCTTGCCTTGACAGTGAACTTCTAGTATTTAAACCCCGCCTTCACTTGACATGATGACTCAAAATGTCTAAGAAATAAAACTCTTACATGAAACAAGAGGATATGACCCTCTCCTGGTAGCTGGGATTCATTCTGTGATGGTCCAGATAGAATGGGTTTGAACATCGAGGGATGTTGAGACAGAAGGAGGGCATCAAACATTTAGAAGCATCCAGGAGAACTTACAGGAAAAATAAAGTATGGGGCAAATGACAAGTAGGAAACAAGGTATGAGGCCATAGAGGCTCAAAGACAAGCACCGTAAGCCACAGTGTACAAGAAAGAAGGAAGCACTCTGGGTCTGCTGTGGGCTTAAGAGACACTGTGGTCTGTCATGGTTCCTCCCAAATTCTTCCATTGAAACCTACCCTGAGGTGATGTTACTGAGCAGAGCGCCTGTAGAGAGAATTGGTTCCCTTAGGCTTTTGTAAAGGAAGTATAAGAAAGGGTTGGGGACATCACATAGTAGTGGCCTGGCTTTCTAGCATATGCTCCAAAACCCTCAGTTCTAACCCCATTGAGAGAGGGGCAGAGACAGAGACAGAGAAGAGACACAGAGACAGACCAGAGAGCTACCTTGCCCTTCCCACCATGCAAGGATACCGGGGGAAGTGCTTGCCCTGAAGGAAGTGGCCCTCACCCGATGGAATCTGCTACCCTGACCTTGGATATCCAACTCTAGACCTCTGACAAATAAACGCCTGTGGTTTTAAAGTCCCTTCTCTCTTTTATTCGGCTATAGAAGCCAGAATAGACTTAGACAGTGGTGGGCATGCAGGAGAAGAAAGCCCAGCTCTGAGGCTGACTACCTAGCCCAGTCCATGCTCCTTGGGCCAGCCGCTACACTCCCCTTTGTCTTAGCACATTCTCCTATGACATGGGGGATAATCATAGTATCTGCCTCACAGGTGTTAGAATCAAACAAGCAAAAGTAGCTGTGTTAACTAGGAAAGCTACTACTGAGTTTAGAGGTGGGGTTATAAAGATCTGAGCCAGGTACTAAAGATAATGATGGGGAGTATGGAAAGATACTGGGCAGTATAGGATGGCAGGCACGTGAGACCACGTTTGGCCAAATTCCGAGCTGTGGTAAGAATGATGGGCTTCTGTGAACAGGAAGGGTTTGTCAGAATGTGGGTGTGAATCAAGGAGATGGTTGGTGACATAACCAACCCCAAGCACCTCAACCTCTTAGGAACAAGGCCCCTTTTAACACCTTTGGCATTGAGTTCTGCAACACAGTGAACACTCAGTAATACGCAGCTACTGTTGGTGTTGCCTGTGAAGTCCTGCCAGGACCTCTTATGATTATGTATTTTCCATTGTCAAGTAAACACTGCTTAAGGCACTAGTGAGGTACACTTCTGTGTGTGTGACTCTGAGAACCCTTCCAGAGAATGTCAGCTGGCTAGGGATGATCTGTCCTGAATGTGGCCTACACCATCATACGCTCTGTGGTCTTGGACTGAATGAAAGAGAACAAGGAGAAAGCAGCTCAGGGTCAGCATCCCTAGACCCACACGGATATGAGCAAGGAGCCCCTGGCTCCAGTTGCTATAGCCAGGAACTGCCCCTGCAGCCAGGCCTTCCCAGACAAGGTGGACTATATGCTCACTTAACCGGGAGGAACCCTTCCTAGCTGGGGACCAGGCCAACCCAAGGTTTTTCCCTGAGGTTTTGCTGTGTGGAGAAGGAATGGAGTTCCAGCAATGGCCCGAGGCCAAGGCTTTGAGGAAGCTATGGCTTCTTTCTGAGAACTAACTCTTCCTACACTAAAGGCTATGGTTGTTTGTCCTAAGGCTACTTGCTGTGTGCTAGGTCTGTGAAACACTTGAGATACTTGTATTCCCCTCATGTAATATCCCTTGATTAGCTTCCTGCCAACTTTGCTGACACTGTCACATATTTTCCTTTCAGGAAAACTGTAAGATGCTATATTTCTTAGCAAACTTGGTCGGCATAAGACATAGCTTGTGCAAGATCTACCGACCCCGTCCTTCCTACCCTCTGTCGCTTCATCCTCTGGCCATTCCCCTTAGCACCCTTTCACTGAAGAATGACCTGCTAGTCCAAGTCATTTCCTCTCTTGAGTTGCTGCCTATCAAGTATTTGGTCACAACAGCTTAATGGTACCCGACTATTAGAGGCCTCGTCCTTGCTCTTCATGACAAGGATTCTTCCTCAGGAAGGTATGAGACTTCATCCCTGTTGACAACATTTTGGGTCTCACAACTTTGAAAGTGATCACACCTTTCAATAAGAATTAAGATACCCTGGAATCCAGATGTAGAGAGGAAGGAGTGATAAGAAAATGGGGACAAGACCAGGCCACAGAAACAGACAGCTGACCTGAACAAGGGGGAGCTCATGGACCCCCAGACTGATAGCTGGGAAACCAGCATTATACCAACACAGACACCCTGAACTTGGATCTCACTTAGAAGGCCTGGGCAGTCTAAGGGACCTCTGACAGTGGAACCGGGATGTATTCCTGGTGAACAAAAGGACTTTGGGAGCACATTCCCCATGCAGGGATACTCCCCTAACCTAGAGGCAGGAGGGAGGGCCTAGTCCCTACTCCAAATGACAGATTGTGTTGATCCCTCCTGGAAGGCATCACCCTCCCTGTGGAGTGGACGGGGGGGGGGGGGGGGGGGGGGATGGGAGGGGAGGGAGTCAGGGGGCATGGGAGGGTGGGAGGGTGGGAGAGAGGGAGGGATGAATAGGTGGAGGGAGGGAGAGAGAACTGGGATGGATATGTAAAATAAGAAAATAACAATAATGATAATAAAAAGAACATGCATATTCAGGAAAACAAGAATTAAGCTACCAGTTGAAATTAGTGCCTTTAATTCCAACACTAGGGAGGAAGAGGCAGGCAGACTTCTGTGAGTCTGAGGCTAACCTGGTCTTACAGAGTGAGTTCCAGGGAAGCCAGGACTGCTACATGGAGAAACCCTGTCTTGAAAAACCAACCAACCGCAACAAACAAACAAAGAGAAAGAATTAAGTTACCTACAAACCCAGAGCTATGGAAAAGCATAGAATCAGCACTGAGCAGCCTCAGAAGGGCAGAGAAAGCACATTATATGACGGCTAATATGTGAGCATCCAAAGGTTAGTTAACTGAAGTATGTGTGTGTGTGTGGGGGGGGGGGTGCCCTGAGCATAACAGTTTATATACTTAGAGAAGGCAATTTTCTGTAAATACCTCAGCTATTGAGCTTATGAGAAATGGTTCTTTTTAAAGGCTAGATATCCTGCTGCTGCATCTCTGGCCTGATGTAGAGGGAGCAGCTATCAGAGACAAGCCAGGGTAAAGGTGCCTGGAGGGTCATATGCCCCACCTCCCTCTAATCAGAGTGGAAAAGAACCAGGCACTGGGGAGACCTCCCTGGAAGAGAAGTCTTGGCCCTGGGGTCACTTGGCAGAGGCTCAACCTTCAGTGAGTACTTGTAATCCCTCACCCATTAATGTTTCCTAGCACTTGCCAATTTTTCATTGCATTTCTAATACAGCTACCATTAGCCTGCTCTCAGGCAGCCTGCCTCCACAGGGTTGAGGGTGTCTGTCTTTCCTTGTAGATTCCCAGGCTTGCTCTTCCAGCCTAATTAAACTGTTGATTCCACCTTAGTCTCCATTTCACCCAACTTAACGTTTATGGAGGCCAGTGCCTCGATAAATGTTCAAAAGCATCTGGAATTACTGTCTTACCATATTTGGGCCTCAGTTCCATTCTTTCCTGGTCATCCATATTGTCTAGGATGGTGTACTTGGTTTTCTTCCTTATCTTAGTCCTTTTCCGTCTGAAAGAAACAACAAAACAAATGCTCAGAATGGAACCTGGGATCTTTCCCACCTAACTAAAGGGTTCACCTGAAACTTAGGCGCTGGAGTTCCTTTAACCAATGTTCACCTGCATACAGCCCAGGCAGCTTTTCCCCACAAGTAATGCCTCACTCAGAAAGATGTGGGTGAGCAAGATTCCCTCAAATCAGTGAGTGCTAACCAAAAATGCCCAGAAACAGGACTGAAGCCAACAGCCAGAGAGAGGGGCCCATGGAAGAAGTGATAAGACAGTTAAACCCTACAATTGTCTTAGAAACAACTTTCATTTTTTTTCCCCCACAAAATATAAAACTGGCTGCCCCTTGGTGTCTCATGTTAAGTCACAAAGCATGGCTCAAAAACATTCATTAAAACTACACTAAATTCAGGAAGCAGATCTCCATGAGTTTGAGACCAGCCTGATCTACATAGCAAGTCCCAGAACCAGGGAAAAGTAGTGAGACACTGTCTCAAAACAGACAAACCACTACAGTAAGGCAGTCACCTTGTTCTGATCATGTCGCTAAGAGCAAGGGTTTCTCACTCTCACTTCAGTGCTTGCTAGCTGGAGACTTTGAGAATGTCACTTAAGACTTCTGTGTCCCATGCCCTGGCTTCCAGAAGAGTCCCTTTCTCCTGTGGTTGCTGGGAGGGCCAAATACAACACTACAGTCAAAGTCGTCACTGAATCAAAATGGCAAATGCTGAGTAGCTATTCAAGGTCAGCACCATGCACTTGTCATACACAACCCTGAGATGTAGAGTGTTTAAAGCCACATTCAGTAGGGGACCCTCTCCCCACGTGAGTCTGAGTGCTTAATGAGTTTGGGCCTCTTTCTAAGGTGTTGTCTTTCCTGCCATGCCCACTGCTGGGAATGCAATCACAAGTAAAATTCAAACAAATTAAGGGTAACTTATGGAAACATCCCATCTTTAGATAACAGAGTGCTTTGTATCAGAAAATGAGCTACTGTCTTCTGACGTCTAGTGATATCTTTTCTTACAATCTCCTCATGAGGGCTGAGCATGGGGTCCAGGAGACTCTTACACTGAGGCAGCCCAAGGGATTCTCAGAAGTCCTTTCCTTTGGATGAAAAATACGAGGAAAAATCTAAATCAAAAGTTCCCTTGCCTCTCTTCAAGTTTTAGGTGACTAAAGGATTCCAGTTGTTGCTTCCTATAACCAAGTCTACAAATTAGACCCACACATTTCTAGACTATCTTTCTCTACTGACAATCAGAGGTTAGACAATGTTAGACAATCAGAGGTTACTATTAGATTTGGGGGGCAGTGATTTGGCTGAGGGACTGAGTACTACTTAGTGAATGCAAGATACTAGGTTCAATTCCTAAAGGTGAGCGTGTCAATGAGTAAAAGCTTTCTCCAGAATTGATCCATTTACTTAGATGCACATGCCTGGAAGGATAAAGTGCATCATACCATGCCCATGAAGTCCAGTTTGTTTTAAAAAAAACTGGCTGTCAGTTAAGCAGTAAGACAAACCCAAAGATACAAGCCCAAAGCTGTTCACGACCCCAGTAAAGAGCCTTCTTTTTTCCCAAACTGATAATCACATTAGGTACCTCCTGCAGCAGCAAACGCACAGCCAAGTCACTGCTCCAGTTACCACTGTCAGGGTCAATGCCAATGCTGCCACATAGAATACACTCCACTCTGCAAAACAAGAAGACAAGAGCGTGCAATGATAAACCATTTGCTAATCAGCTTTATTCTGACAACTCTCAATAAGTCTATCTGAGCAGAGGCCAGCTGTGATGCTGGGATCACTATGTAGGGCAGGAAACAGAGCCTAGCCAGGTGCCATGCAAATTGAAACAATAGACTAATGACTTTGTCTATTTGGTTGAAGGACCTCATGAAGCACATAACTCAGGGACCTCAGGCACATAGTTCAGGCTAACTTGAGAGCAGGAAACCCAAAGTAGCTGAAGCAAATCAGTGAAGCAACTCTGCATCCTACATATAAATATGTGAAATATTAACATTCTAGAATTCCGAGAATCATAACCTTCCTTCCTAAAAGGTCTGTATGGTATTTTTCCTCCTCTTCCTTCTCCTCTCTCTTCTCCTTCTCCTCCTCCTCGACATTCCCAGTGCTGGGATTATGGATGTGCACCCAGCGCTTGGTTTTATGTGGTGCTGGGGATAAAGTTTTGAGTGTGCTAGGCAAGCACTCTACCTACTAAGCTATATTCCCAAACCCATGGCATGGTCTTATAAAGCAAGTCAAGTGTCTGCTTGTTGCCTGTGGCATGAAGATATCTATCAAGGTCAATTTTGGAACTACTCTTTATTCCTTCTACATCCTAAGCTTTACAGTAATAACTTAGGGTCATATGCCAATGGGTGCCCAAGACAATGGCACATGCTTTTAATCCAGCACTTGGAACACAGAGGCAGGCAGATCTCCGTGAGTTCTAGACCAGCCTGGTCTACATAAAGAGCTCTAAAGAGCTCCAGGACAGCAAGGACAACATAGAGAGGCCCAGTCTCAAAAAAAACAAAACAAAACAAAACAAAAAAAAACAAAAACAAAAACAAAAAACAAAAACAAACAAACAAACAAAAAAACCAAATCACCAATGAGACAGAGACTCATGCTTAACCTGATTAAATATCATGCCATCTCCCTAGAATAGCAGCCTGAAGCTGGCTCATTTCTGATGTTTGTAGAGAGTTAAAGAACATGACATGGCAGGTAGCTCTTAACATTTTTCTGACATTTATGTCCATCTGGACCCCCAAAATGGCAAATTTATTCTTAGGAATAAACTGCCATGAAAATACAGTTTTCTAGCTGAGTGTGCTGACTCAGACAAGTAATCCCAGCACTTAAAAGGTGGAAGCAAAAAGATCAGGAGTTCAAGGTTATCTTCTGCTGTGTAGAAAATTCAGAGTTAGAGAAAAATCAGGCTGTATAATAAATTGCATATAAATTTATTATATATGCTTGCTATAGAGTTTATATTTTGTTTTTATGTGTTGAGTGTGTGTGTGTGTGTGTGTGTGTGTGTGTGTGTGTGTGTGATTTTCTCCCCAAAGAGATTGGGCAATGGGGCAAGATTGTGATTTCTGTGGCTGGTACCTGCTTGGGCTAACTCCTAGCAGTTTAGGCCACATTTCCCATTTTGTATTTTCCCAGTTAGGGGCTATACGATCATAAGTTTCCAACATCCTAAGCCATGGCACATATAATCTGGGGCAGAAATCTCAAAGCAATTGTTTCTTAGCACTGCCCTGCCAAATCTATCTCTTAGGAGGTATTGCAGATAAGTTTCTGGAGACAGATTGGTAAGAATGGGGTTGGGCCAGGTGTATGTGGTGCATGCCTTTAGTCCCAGCACTCAGGAGGCAGAGGCAGGCAGATTTCTGTGAGTTCGAGGCCAGCTTGATGTACAAGAGCTGGTTCCAGGACAGCTTCTAAAGCCACAGAGAAACCCAGTCTCGAAAAAACCAAAAAGGAAAACACAAAAAAACAAAAGAATGGGGTAGGATGGTTCTAGATGCTAAGCCAGGGAAAGATGAGTGTCTTCAAGAACAGCACCAGAAGCCATCACACACACACACACACACACACACACACACACACACACACACACGCACACGCACACACCACACACACAATCACACACACACACACTACTCACCACAGTTGCTTTCGCCATCCCACATATAACGCTGTATGAGGTTCTCCATCCACAGATGGGAGCAAATGCAGCGTTTTGTGATGGGGTCACAGTGACCATGACCTGAACACTTGAGAAGGCATCCTGTAAAAAGGGGTGCAGAGATGAGATCATCATGGACAAAAGGAGGTCCCCAGGTTTCCCCTTCCATAGTGGAAGCCCAGAAGTCTCTTAAGAAGCTGAGAATGCTGACACACACCTTTCATCCCTGTACTCAGAAGACAGAGGCAGGTGAATCTCTGAGTTCAAAGCCGGCCGGGTGTGGTAGTTTGAAAGAAAATGGCCCCCAAAGGGAGTGACACTATTAGAAGTTGTGGCCTTTTTGGAGTAGGTGTGGTCTTATTGGAGGAAGTGTGTCACTGTGGAGGTAGGCTTTGGGATCATATATATGCTCAAACCATGTCCATTGTTTCAGATCACTTCCTGTTGCCTGTGAGTCAAGATGTAAGAACCCTCAGGTCCCTCTCAGGTCCCTCTCCAGCCCCATGTCTGCCTGCACACTGCCATACTCCCAGCTGCCATGCTCCCCACCATGACAATGATGGAGTGAATTTCTGAACTGTTAGCAACCACCTCAGTTAAATGCTTTCCTTTGTAAGAGTTAACATGGTCATAGTGTCTCTTCCTAGCTGATCCACAAAGTGAGTTCCAGGACAGCCAGAGCTACACAGAGAAGCCCCATCTTGAAAAAACAAAACAAAACAACATCTCTTATAAGTCAAGCACCTAAAATCCTAGCACTCAGGAGGCTGAAGCAGGAAGACTGCAGCAAGTTTGAAGCTAGTCTCAGCTACACAGCCATCACTAGGACAGTCAGGACAACATGGTAAGACCCTATCTCAACCCTCATCACTACCACAACAGTAGCATAAACTCTCACCATACAACAGCTCATCAGGAAGCAAGTTTAGGGAAAAGCCAATCCATACCATAGTAAGAGCCTTAACGTTTACCAAGACAATGAACTAAGAAATGCGCAATGGGAACAATTGGGAGTGCACAGTGGTGTGTCTTTATTGTAACACTATTTAAAAACATCCCTACAGTCCACAGGCAGAAGAGTAGTTGTGTGATTACAGAACACATCCAGGGAGGGAAACCAAGCAGCCATGAATGTCTCATGGAAAAGACATTCTAAAGGGTTTGGGGAAGTAATAATAGTATGAATAAAGCTTAAAGACACATTACAAGAGCTATGATTTAACTCAGTTGTAGAGCCCTTTGCCTAACATATATAAGACACTAGATTAAGTCTCCAGAAACTACACAACTACACACACACACATAAACATGCTAAAAACACCAAATTATCATGATTGCATTATATTTCCTAAAGATGGAGCAACTTGGAAGAAATACATTAGAATAGTAGCATAACGAAAGTTATGTCTAGGCAACAGGAACTCTAAACTCTACAAACAATACAAACAAGAGGATTGCTTTCTTCTTTGTCCTTTTGGGATAGTTCAGATTTTCTACAATAAATAAATCACTGCTTTGAGCACTTAGAAAAACAAAAGATTCTACTTTAAAAAAAAAAAACAATCAAATTACCAAATTACTCCATATTATGAATGAGAAAGTAGACTAACAATTCAACTAACAGTATCAATTGTAGATTAACACATATCTGAAACAAATTAAATTTGTGCAAACATTATCATATTCTGGTAACTGAGATGACTACTCCATTAACATTTACTGGTGATGAAGACTGGACCATGGAACTACAAATCAGTTTGATATCCTAAAGGGACAAGCATAGCTTTAAAAAAAGTGTGGTTACTACTGGAAGACACATATAAGCTTAAATTGACAGAAGAAATTTTTGAAACAATGATGTATGACACTACTGTTCTCCGGTTTCTTTCCAAAACAAGAGTAGTTGGCAAATATGTCACAGAAAACCTACTGGAGAAATAAATGCAGAGTCCTGTGGATGGGTGGGGGAGGGGGATTGAAAGGAAAACACCTGTATAAGATACCATTCCTGTTTCTATTGTCAAATACCTGGATTTAAAAGCAAAGGCTCACAGTTCAGAGGAATACAGGCATGGCCACAAGACTGAGAGGCAGCTGGTCACATCGCTCTATAGTCAAGAAGGGGGGGGGGGTGTAAGCAGGGAGAATAGTGGTGGGATTACTGAAGTAGGCTGGGCTAGAAAACCCAAGACCTGCCCCCAGGGGTTCATCTCCTTTAGCACAGCTTCACCTCTTAAGAGTTCCATAATCCTCCAAATAGTGTTCAAAGACACTATGGGGCTCATTGTACATTCAACCACAACAGTGTTTGTGTTGTGTCTATCAAACTCCCAGAACTGGCAAGTCTGATTTTGTTTTTAATTAGACTATTTCCATGGGAGACATACCTGCTGTGTCTATCCTCAAGACCTTGTAAAGTAGGAAGGCTGCCTTCTCCTTTGAAAGCCGCCTGTGCAGATTCCGGGCCACATCAGCAGCTCTGAAAACCTTGAAAGGTGGCCCGCTCTGTACATAAAATATAATCACAGTGCTGGAGAAGAGACAATGAGAGACGGTCACATGATTAGACAGTGGCTGGCTGGCACAATGTACCACCAAAGCCATCTGACTTGCAGCGCTGGCAAGGGAGACCACTATAACTCTACAGTTTGTTCTTTCACTTAGCATCTTTTTAAGGTTCATCCATACGATTCATTTTTATTGTCAACTAATATTCCATTGTATGTATGTATATTTGTATGTGTGTAAATAATTTATATAATTTCTTTGTATTTGAGTGTACATGTGGAGGTCAAAGGTCAACTCTGGATGTCATTCCTCAGAAGCTATCCAGCTTGTTTTATGAAACAAGGTCTCTTTTTTTTTTTTTTTTTTTTTGAGACAGGGTTTTTCTGTGTAGCCCTGGCTATCTTAAACTTACTCTGTAAACTCTGCATGAGCCACCACCATCTGGATAACAGGGTCTTTCTTTAAAAAAAAAAAAATTGTCTTCTTAACTTATGCATTTATTTCATGTGTGTGACAACATGTGTATCTGTGTACCACTTGTGTGCCTGGTGCCTGCAGAAGCCAGAAGAGGGCATCAGAATCCCTAGGATTGGAGTTACAGAGAGTTGTGAGCTTTCATGAGCTGTCATGTGGGTTCTGGGAAATAAACCCAGGTCTTCTGAAGGGCAGCCGGTGCTCTTTACTCCTGAGCCATCTTCGCAGACCCTGAGATAGGGTAGTAGGGCTCTGCATGAAACCCCAAGGCACCTTGAGCAAACCTGAAGATGTGGCTGGAACATCTTGTCCCAGAGTTGTTACTGGTACTCTGCCTGATTTGCTAACACACATCTTCTGGGGAGAAGCTAAGCCCAAGAATTTGTACACTTGACCTTTGATTGCTTTCCACTGTGCTGTGAGTCAGTAAATAAGCCCGCTCCTTCCCCTCAATAAATGGCATTTGGCATTCCAGCATTCCTGTTGCACGAATGACCCGCTGTCTTGTCTTTTATTTAAATCTCTAGGCCTTTGCCGGATTAGTGGAACAGATTGTAGCACAGGAACTGCACAGGGTCTTTCACTGGAGCCCTGGGGCTCACTGATGAGGCTAAACTGGATGGCCAGTGAGCTCCAAGGATCCCCATCCTTCGACTCCCAGTGCTGGACTTACTATGCACCACCCCAGTAGGCTGACTGAGAATATCCCCCATAGGCTCACATATTTGAACACAGTGGTCCCAGTTGGTAGTGCTGTCTGGGGATTGTGGGTGGTTCAGCCGTGCTGGAGGAAGTGCTTCAGTGAGGGCAGGCTGTGAGGGTTCACAGCCTGCTCCACTCAGGTCACTCCTGCTTGTGGCTGAAGGTGTGGCTTCTCGGCTTCCTGCTCCTTCCATCATGGCTGCAGCTGGCTGTCATGCCTCTGACATGATAGACTCTTATCCCTGTAGAACTTTAAGCTCCAAATAGACCCTTTCTTCCAGAAATTGCTGTTTTGGTCATTGTATTTTTTCACAACAACAGGAAAGCTACTACTACAGCCACTACCATGCCCAGTTTGTCCCCCCCCCACACACACACACATTTATTTGCATTGGGGGGGTGGTGGTGCACACATGCCAAAGTCCATGCATGAGGTCAGAGGACAGTTTTCTCCTTCCACCATGTGGGTAGAACTCAGGTCATCAGGCCAGTAGCAGGTGCCTTTACTTGTTGAGTCATTTTGCTTGCCCCTTGTCCAGTTTTTACTTCAATTCTGGGGATTAAACTCAGGGTCTTCATGCTGGCATAACAAAAAAAAAACCTTAGTGCCTTAGCTATGTCCTCAATCCTCATATATCATTTCTATCCATTGATGGGCATTTAGGTTGTTTACACCCTAGCTGTCATAAATCTATGTCGTGACTATCCACATTTTTTTATGTGGATGTAAGTCTTTCATCCCCCTCAGTAATTACCTAGGTAGCTAAGTCTATAGCTATGGCTTTAGATTATAGCCATCTTATAGACAAGCAGCACACAGGTTTTAAAAACATAGTGTTTGTGTGTGTGTGTGTGTGTGTGTGTGTGTGTGCGCGCGCGCGCGAGTCTGTGTCTGTGTGTATATGTACATGTATGCATACACGTACATGTGCTCTAATGTACATGAGGAGAACTGAAGACAGCTGGTGAGAGTTGGTTCTCTCCCTCCACCATGTGAGCCCTGATGTTTGCACTCAGGTCTTCTGGCTTGGTGACAGGAAGTCCCACCTTGCTAAGACATCTTTTGGCCCTGGGAGTGGTTTTACTTGGCATTTTCTTCAACGCTATGGATGGTGAGCATTTTTCCATGTGCTGACTGGCACACCTACTCAGATCTGCATGAGTTTCCCAGGACTGTTGCAAACAAGTTCCACAGCTTAGTCACTGAAAACAACAGCAATCTCTTGTCTATAGGTTCTGGACAGCCAAAGCCTCAAATCAAAGTGCTGGCAGGATTATGCCCTCTGGCGCTCCATAGACAGATATGTTCCAGACCTTTCTCTCAGCTTACTTGGCATTTGTTGGCATCAGGCTTGTAGATGTATCACCACCTGTGTCTCTTTATGACCTGGCGTTCTTTTCATGTGCCTCCCTGCACGTGCAGGTGTGTGTTCAAAGGTGTGCACATGCATGTTGGGGCCAGAGGTCTTCTCAGCACCAGCTTAAATACTTTCTTGTCCTTACATTCCCTCTGCCTAACAAATTAGTTTGTTAGCTTTAAATTCAGTTTCACTCAGGGTTTTAGGATATAGGCAGAATCAAGCCAGATTCTTGGAAAAATATCACTTGAATGGGCCCTATCCCAGGTCCTGATAGAATCCTCATGAGCCATCTGTCTACTTTCATCTGTCCACTGTCCATCTGTCCATGCTTCCATCAGCATTCCTGTCTTCTGAGCTTGCTTCCAACATTCTGGAGATTGCCTGCTCCAAACCCAAACTGTTCCAAATTCCTACACGTTCTTTCAACAAGCAAGTTCCAAAAGCCTATGAACCACATGGCCAAGTTTATCATAGCATTGTCCCTACTCCTAGTACCGATTTTCTGTCTAGGTTCTTTTTCCTATTGCCATGGCAAAAGCATCTTAAGGGAGGATGGGTTTGTTTGAGTTCACGGTTTGAGGAACCTGGCAGCAAGAACTTGAGGCAGCTGGTCATGCTGCATCCATAGTCATACAGCAAGAAATGATGAACAATTATGTTCATGTTCTCCTCTTTATACAGGCCAGGACCCTCTGCCCAGGGAATGGTGACACCTGTGCTGCATGACTCTTCCCATCTCAATAAAACCAACCAAAACAATCCTTCAACAGGCTTGTCCCAAGGGTCGTCATCTAGTTAATGTTTGAGATCAAGTTAACAAATGAGATTAACAGTCACAGCACGTAGTAGCCCAATATCTGGTACAAACTGTTTCCAACAGCCCTGACTAAGCCTATGCCTGCAGGAGCCAGAGGAATCCAATGTTACCTTTGCATTGTTGTCTCAAGGCATTTGTGAAGTGTAAGATGGCTAGTGTGTCATGTAAGTACAGTCTATACAACTGTTTGACAGACAGCCCTTTAGCCCAAGGCAATTAGAGAAAGTCCAACGCTTCCAAATAGGGAATCAAATGGTCCTCCCACCCCTGGCATTTAAATTTACAGAAAGTAGAGCAGCAGGAGGGGTGGGTGCTTATAGCAAGGATTTCAAAATGTATTATTAACACTAATGATAATAGTGTTTAACAGCTGCTCAATATGCCAGAGGGGGGTGAGACCCCTTTTACTGTCTAAACCAAAAAGTGTTTTCATCATGAAAAGATTCTGGACATTGTCAAAATCTTTCTCCATACTTACTGAGTCATTCTTTTATTTTTAAGATTTTGTTTTATTTTTAATTATGTAGATATGTCTCTCTCTCTCTCTCTCTCTCTCTCTCTCTCTGTGTGTGTGTGTGTGTGTGTGTGTGTGTGTGTGTGTGTAAGTTCCCATAGAGACCAGAAGACACCTTTGGAGTTATAAGAGTCTGTAAGCTGTCCACTTTGGGTACTGGGAAACACTGGTCCTCTGGAAGGATAGTACATATTCTTAATTACTGAGCAATCTCAAGGATGGGACACTTATGCACATGGCCCTGAGTCCCATCTGCAGCACCCTAATTAGTTAATTAGAATGTCTTCATTAGTCACTTTTCTAAATAAATAAATTGCAGTTCAATAGAAAACCAGCCCAGACAGATAGGCCAACAATAACTACAAAATGTACTTCCTGGAAATGGTGGGGTTTAATCACCCCATTCTTTCTATTCTCCTGCCCTACACTGGTGTTGGTTTGGTGGGCTTTAAAAATAAAACTTAATTAAATGCAAAAGTCTTGTAAGAATGGAAGGTTGAGTAAACTCCTTAAAGACAGTAAATGGGACTGAGCAATCTCTTGACACAGAGAAGTGTCTGCTCAAGACAACTTCCTCACCAGCCCCAGGCGATTTGCAGGCAGAGCAAAACTATCATCTCCTTTGACATTCCCGAACTCGCATTCAGAACATTCTCAATTCACAAACCTTTACCAGGATCTGAGGGCGGGGCCTAAAATGACTTGTTCTTACTCTTGTCTTTGAGGATAACAATAAAAGAATATGAACATGATAAAAAATAAATAAGAAAGCAAGCAAGGAGAAAGACCTGGGAGAGAGCAGAAGAGGCCTGCAACAAATCTGACACCTGAGTGAGACATGGTGCTGGATAAATACTCATCCCTGACACCTGGGTGAAGCCCAGTGCTGGATAGGTGTAATCAGCATGGTGAAATTGCCTTTTAGACATGTGAAAACAGCTTAGTCAGAAACCCCACTACAATCAACCCAGTGACATCACTCACTCAAGATAACCAGACACAGTCCTAGGCTCCCTGACTCCCACTGGACAGCATGTAAGAAGAGACCAAAAGCAATGCTCTGCTCTGTACATCTGGAGAGATGCTGCCTTGATCTGCTCTGAGGCAGGAGATCCTGACCCTCGACTCAGAGACTTCTGTTAGAGGTTGGATCTGCCCTCCAGCTAAGATATGTCACACAGGTGGGCAGCCTGGGAGAGACAGGCTTAGGGCTGTAGTTAGGAATTTAGAGTGTGAACCTTATGTGATGACCCTTAGCATAAGAAAATATAACTTTTGTTATACCAACTGCTCGTATCCACCCACCTTCTTGCTTGAGACGGTAGTTATCATGGCTGATATCTGAGTGTCATGTGCTGGGCATGCATCTCCATACCTGACATCCGTGTGTGCCTGGACCTTGAGGACCTTCACATCAGAGTCTAGCACATTCAGGAGCATAGCCAACTGCCTCACCAGGGTTTCCTTCTGCTGTTCTGTCAGCCGCTCAACACCAACCTGAAGGATCAGCTCCACCAGGCCATCCTTCTTGGGGTCTGAGGAGAGCAAAGACAGGAATTTCACCATGAGATCACAGGCTTGGTAACACAAGGAGTAGGGTCAGTAGAAGGGTTCAAAGCCAGACTGGGCTTGTGGCTCAGCAGAGGGTGCTGGCCCAGTGCCCACAGATGGTGAGTTTCATGTCCAGCACAGCAAAAGTAAGGTCAAAATATGATAATAAAAGTTTAAAGGAAGCATCTATCTATTACATTTAGCTCAGATCATTCTAAAACAGCAGAGAGGTGGGTATGGTAGTACACACCTACAGTACCAGCACTTGGGACTGTGGGGGCAAGAGGATCAGAAGTTCAAAGTCATCCTTACTGCACAGTGAGTTCCAGGCCAACCTGGGCTACATGAAACCCTCTCTTAGAGAGAGTCAGACAAGGACAGAGAGAAAAGTAAGTCCCAGGGAACACCATAGAAACAGCTCTGGAGTAATTTTCCCAATTTTATTCCACCTTGTTATCTAGTAGTTTTTCTCTCAAAAGACAACCAACTATACCTTTGAGATACACTGAAAAGTTGGTGCCTCACATGCTTCCCCAGCACCTGAGAACATTCTTTCCTGCTCATGGGTGCTACCTAGTCCAGTTTATTCTTAGTGTCACCATGCCCACCTCACCGAGGCTCCCCTCCCTCTACCTGACCATGTTCACTTCATGTTAAATCAGGAAAGCAAACTCTTCCTTCCAGATATAATTCTCATAATTCTCATTGATGATGCACAAACTGGGATCTGCTTGTGGTATAAAGAAAAGTATGGAACAATCCTAAAGCTGGTTGAGAGGTGGCTCTGTGAGTAAGAGCCTATACTGCTCTTAAAGAGGACCTGAGTTCAATTCCCAGCACCCAACACCCAGTGGTTCATAACTGCCTATAATACCAGTCCTAGAAGCTCTCACTCCTTCTTCTGGTCTCCAAGAACACCACATCCGTGTGCACAAAATCACACACACACAAAAACCACACAACTTTTAAAGAGTTCTACTATCAATTCATTGATGTGTTGTACTAGAGAAGGGAATGGAAGTAACCACATCTCCAAGCCGGCAGCATGCTGCTGGATGGCAGCATAGACCAAGGCACTGAGCACAGCTCTCAGTTCTGGCGGTAAAGGTGTCCACCGCCATCTTGGATAGACTTCTGAAACAACTGTGGCTTTCATTTTAGTAATGTTGTTGTTTACCAGATAAAAGACTCATGGCCAGAAAAATATAAAGATTTACAGTAAAGACAGATTCACATTAACAAAAAGCTAAAAGTTTACAGTATATTTTAAAATATACGTAGCCTTGGGAGAGAAAAAGAATAAAATGGTTTTAAAAAGACAGAGAGGAGCTGGATGTGGTGGCACATGCCCTTAATCCCAGCACTCAGGAGACAGAAGCAAGCAGATCTCTGTGATTGCAAAGTAAACCTGGTATGCAGAGTGAATTCCAGGACAGATAAAAGTTACACAGAAAAACCCTGTCTCAAAAAATGAAAAAAAATAGAAGTAAAAGAAACAGAGTAATAAAAAAGCCACATAAAGATGGAGAGAATCTGGATATTGTACGGTGTTATATTGTCTTTGTATCATTTTACTGCTGAGGAAATAACTACAACTGTTAAAACAAATGCTGCTGGATCAATCCAATTTATATATTTTAAAAATGCTTTGACTTCAAAATTTAAGTCTAAGAACAGGTTACTGGGGAAAATGATTTCTAGTTTTGTTTCCACAGAAAATAAAAAGCTATGGATTCCTTCCCAACTAACATGGTTTGATCAAGCAAGACCCCCTGAAGCAATGTCCATGGGACAATGCAGCCTTGCAGACCACTACAGCCAGGATTTCTGCATCTTCTTAGGATCCCCAATGACAGCGCCCCCTACCAGCAGGAAAAAGTTTGGAAAGAACGACACCCAAATTCCCAAATATTGTCTATAAATGTTTGTTTTCATTTATATGGGGTTGGTTATAAATGGTTAATGACCACAACCAATCTCTTTTTAAAGGTAAAAAGGGTATTATAGTATAGGTATGAATACTTTGTTTTGGAATGGAGTTTCATTTATTGATACAATTTAAGGTCAATTATGTTATACGTATATTTCTACTTTTGTTTAAGTATTGTGTTTATATAGTTAATTTAGAAATGTAATGTGTAATGTAGTACAGATTATAGATAATTACCTATGATAGTCAAAGCTTAGAGTTAAGTTAGTTAGGTTTTTCAAGATACACAGAGATGTATTTAAGATAGATAGGCATTCTTCAAACCTTTCAAAGACCTACAGAACATGGCATTTAAAATGGTTTAGGGTTTTTCTTGACAGTGAGACATAAATGCTCCTGGCAACACCACCTGCGTCAGAAAGGAAGATGGACATTGAAGAAATGTGTTATGAAGTTTACTTCCAATATGGCAAGACTAGCCATTTGGATAAGATACTGCCCTTGTCTGGACTGTTTGACTTTATGCTGTATAAACTGGACATGCAGGACCCACAGAAAATTGATTGCTGATTCAAGATGGACATTGCTACAGAGTTCCTGTTTCATGGAAGAGTCTGCTAGACAGTCTGCGGGACACAGAGAAAAGTGATTGATAAACTGCCAATACAAAAAGACAGTTTAAAGTTTCCTGCTTTGCTGAAGAGTCTTCCAGACACACTATGGCCTATGGGCTGAAGATGGAAGATTACAGAAAAACTTCAGGTGACTGACCAGGCAGTGAGTTGTCTCTGTCATTCCTAGAGTTTATATACTATCCTTCTGTGGTCTTTGAAGGAGTTGAAGACAGATAGTTATGGTTATAGTTTTCCTTAGTTAAGATTAAAGGTAAGTTACATATAGGACTTCAGACTCACAAAGATAGAATAGATGATGGAATATTTTCTTAAATCTTACTAAATGTTAATGGACTAAATATTGTTAACTGTGATTCTTATTTGTGTGATATATCTTGCTATGTTAAGGTTAAAACCCTTCTTTTTATTTAGACAGAAAAGAGGAGATGATGGGAGATGTCATTCTGTAAATATGTTTCTCATACTGGTTAATGAATAAAGCACTGTTGGCCAATAGGAAAGCAAAATAGGCAGGACTAGGAGACTAGGAGGATTCAAGGAAGTAGTAGGGAGGAGTCAGCATGTAGAGATTGGAGAGAGCAGACACCAGCCCTACTCTCCGGTAAAATGAGACCACGTGGAAATACTTAGATTAATAGAAATGGGTTAATACTTAAGACAGAGCTAGCCAATAAGAAACAAGTAACTGGCCAACAGCATTTATATCTAATATAATGTCTCTGTGTATTATTTGGGGCTGGCGCCGAGGTAGGTCCAGGCCAGCAGGAAAAACATACTCTTAACACACATACACATTTTTTTTTTTCATTAAAAAGAAAAAGGAAACCCCTAAGGTCAGGCTGGCCAAGAGCAGAAGCTAGATACAGAGGGCCACCTACCCCAGTGACATCGGCTCAGTACACACCTGGCAGGACCTCCACGGTGGCTGTGTCTGAGTCCGAGGCCCCCTGACTGTCAGTGACTAGCAAATGAAAAGTGTAGACTCCTTCCACCAGATTGGTGAGCTGAAGAGCCACCTGGTTGTCGGAGCCTCCGATGACATCCTGAGAAGTGAAGGGATCCACAGGGCAACAGTCAGTCTTGTACCCAGGCTCTGAGCCTCTTTGGAGCTCAGAGCTCTGAGTTTCTTGTTTTCAGGCGTATATAACTTATATGGCTGGGGTTGGGGAAGGTGGAGGGAAGGTTTAGAATCTTCAGCTCTTCCTTATGTAGAACAGCAGTGAGTACAAGAACCAAACAAGATGTGGTATACAGCTTCCCAGGAGTTACCAAATGATTCATTAACAGAGGGTGAGAACTTAGGTTGAAAGCCCCAGGGCAAAGCATGAAGTTTTGTAGTCTTATTTCTAATATAGTTTTATAATGCTCTCACCTCACATCCCCTCAAAGCTTATCATATCTACCTTCTCAAGTGACCCCAGAGCCTTGGTAGACAGACCACCTGTTTTATGGATCTGTAGATCCAAAGAGTGAGAGAGAAATCTTTTGGACTCTTTTGTCTGTACTTGCTGACCAGATGGGACAATGAAAAGTTAGGAATCTGAACTGAGACACACTGCAATTTCACTTAGAGGCTAATCTACCATCTATCTCTATAGAATTCATTCCAAAAGTACTTTAGAATGTACAAGGCATTTTCAGTCCCTTCCCTATGACCACACATTTGGTACATCTCCAAGAGTGCTTCTGTAGATCTCAAATCCTTAGCAATAGAAAAAAGGAAGATGTTTGGAAATTCACAATCTAAGAGGCAGAGTGAACCAACAGCTCCCAGAAGCTAAAAGTCTGGGTTTGTTTGGTTTATGACTGAGCTTGTTAGCCTTGGCCAACTCATGTTCCATATCTATATTTCACTCTCTGCCTCTGTGAAGTGGAACTGGAAATCCCATGCCTCTGGCATGCGTGGTACATGGAAGAATAAAGCTAAAATAAGAAGCTGAAGAGTAGAAGGGTCCCACTGGGAAGCTTGGCTTCCAAGTCTGTCATGGTGCCCAACCTTTTGACATTGTGACATAATGTTGTCATCTACAAATGTGTTAGGCTGCATTCACAGCTGTTCTAGGACACAAGAGACCTGGGTGCCGTGAGTGGGACACACCTGCATGGTTTGCTATCCTACCAAAAATCAGATTAGGAAGAGGACTGCAGCTTTGCTTAAACCTAATGGCAGCCTGATGTCCCCAGCCCTCATAATGTTCAAACCCAGAGGCCCACGAATCTTATTGGGGAGATGACATGGTGTTCATGTGACTGATGTTCACACCCGAATCTGCAATGTGACCTAAAGTTAGAACTTTGAAGGAGGTAGTTGAAGTTGAGTGAGGTTGCAGGGGTGGAGCCTGCCCCACAGGACTGTCCTTACAAAAGAAACGCGAGAGCAATTCCCCACCTCTTTCCTGCTTTCTCACACTGCCACATGAAGACAGAGTAAGCAGGTGGCCACCCAGGACCCAGAAAGAGATCCCTCACCAAAGGAAAACAGATTGGCACCTTGGTCCTGGTTTTCCCTTTAAGCCATCCTGCCTGCGGTCTTTTGTCACAGCTGACCACACTGACTAATCTGTATGCAGTGTACATGGCTGAGGGAGGTAGCACCCTTCAAGTACTCACGCCGGCAGCTGGACTCTGGCCATCCCTGATCCACAGATAGGACACAATCCCTCGGTCATCAGTGGACCGTGAACCATCCAAGGTAATGGAATTGTTGGGAAGCGTAAGAACATGTCTGCCACCAGCCTGGGCTCTGGGAGGACTATTATCTTCTAAGTCAGACAGCAAAAACAAAAGGAAAGAAACTGACTTAAAACACCATCGATGGCATAAAACACACACAACTGCTCCATCTTGTAGCCAAGGTTGTTTTAAATACCCCAAGGCATTATTTTCTGCCCCAAATACCTGTAAGATAAGATACAGATATTGAGCACCTCTCATTTCAATGGGAAGACAGACAAAATCAAGTAATTTGACTGAAAATTTTACAGTAAAAACTAACATAGAAGGCTAGGGCTATGCAGTAGTAAAGTGCTGGTCTAGCATGCCTGGAGCCCTCTGTCCAGTCCCTGTTGTCAAATAAAACCAGGCCTGATTCTGCATGCTTGTAATCCCATCAGTCCAGAGGATCAGGGGTTCAAAAACTTGTCTTTAAAAAAATGGGGCAAGAGGTATATAGGCCCATTAGATGGCTCAGTGGGTAATGATGCTTGTCACCAAGGGTGATGGTCCTACATGGTAATCACAGAGAACTGATTCCCTGAAAGTTGTCCTCCTACCTACACACAAACACACACACACACACACACACACACACACACACACACACTTTCATTGTGGCAAGCACATTCCCCTCCTGCATATATACACACACACACAATAAATAAAAACATAATAAAAGGTTTTTAAACTTCTACTTTAAAAAACAACGTAGATAACTTAAACATACTTCTGCTCTTGGGTTTTCAAGAAAGTAGAAAATAAAACACTGGCCAGAACTGGATCTCTCATGGCCAGGGTCACAGGAGAGTGAACTATTTTGCAAACAAAAGGACACTATTCCCTGCAGAGAATGTAGGCGCATGTCTTCCTGCTCTACACACTCCCTGAAGCCAGACAGGACTCAAAGGAAGTCAGTTGTCAGGAAGAAGGTTGGTCCCTCTGGGCAAAGTTCAGTCAGCTGTGAACTCATGAGGTAACATCAACATTGCTGGGTAATTGTGAACTGGCCTGGGGACCTGGGTGGCAGAGCAGGCTCAGGTCCTGTCATCAAGTTCACTCACCCTTCTTCACAGCCACGGTGAGGGTGGATGTGCTGCTCAGTCCCTGCTGGTCTCTCACCGTTAAACGGAAGTGGTAGGTACCCACCTGAAGCCCGGTGACAGTGGCTATGGCTTTGTCCACATTCTCCATCTCCACTGCACTGGGGCCTCTGTAAAACAGGGATGTTGTAGACAAAAGGTGGGCCATGAGATCTGTCCCCTAGCAAGTGCTTCTACTTCTGACTGTAGTGACCATCTGATCTTCTACAGAGTTCTAAGATAATTCTTCCTTCACACATGTTCTCTAGCTTGGCATGAGGGTCAAAGCTAAAGCCCATTTCAAACACAATATAATGGGGTCTGGGGAAAGAATGTTCTTTCTTTTTTCATTTTTAATAGAGACACCACAGAAATGATCTCTCTTTAGAAAATTGAACCTTAGAAACTGCTCACTTTTTTTTTTCTTCATATTTTTAGATCTGGTCTCACTATGTACTTGAACTCATGATGAGCTTTCTGGTCCAGCCTCCTAAGTGCTGAGATTACAGGTGGGCACTACCGTACCCAACCACCCATTTCTTCTTTGAATGAAACTTGACCTAGTCCTCATCTAGCTTCAAGGGGGGGGGGTGTAGAAGAGGAAGGTGTGAGGCAGATGATTTGCCATTGGAGAGAGGATATTATGTCTAGTCATTAAGATCCTAGACATATGCAGTTTTGCATCTCCATGCAGCCTATTCCAGTGTAGATAACCTAAACTATTCGGTCGGCCTTGCTGGTTTCTTCAAGTCTGAGTTTTTCAACTTTAGAACGGGAATGATCCAGCCCAGCATGGTGGCACATGCCTTCAATCCCAGCACTTGGGAAGTGGAGGATATTCAGAAGTAAGTGAATCTCTGTTGTGTGAGTGCCAGCCTGATCTATGAAGAGAGTCCCAGACTAGTCGGCACTACATGGTAAAACCCTGTCTCAAAATAAACAAACAAAAGAAATGGTAATGATACAGTTTCCTCTTCAGAAGTCATGTAGCAAAACAGGAAATGTTACAATATGAATTTCACCTTGAACTCTGCACGTCTGTTATACATAGTCACTGGAGCAGGTTGGGTGTAGACCACATATGGTCTACATCTCTTTCACCAGGACACTCACCCCACACCAAGCCAGCCCTGTCCACCTGTTCTGGGCTCCACTTCCCTCCAATGTCTATCTTTCTAAAACACTCTTCTCTTTTTGTTTGCTTGTTTGTTTGAGATGCAGAGAGGGGTCCTCACTATGTAGCTTAGGCTAGCCTTGAACTCAAGAGTTTCCTGCCTCAGCCTCTCAAGTGCAAGGGTTGCAAGCATGCAGCATCAAGCCTATAATGCATAATTTTTTCAATAAGGCTTAGTTACTCTTTGCTTCAACCATGACTCCTCAACAAGCTTGAGCTGCTGTTTAATATGGTCCTCCAGGGAAGGGATGCAGTCACTCGGCAGTGACCCAGACTCAGAGCTGGGTAGATACACTACCTGATGTGTTCCCAGTGGTAGCAGACAATGCCATGGTCATCACTGCTCCTGCTCCCATCCAGTGTAGCACTCTGCACGGGGAAGAACAGCTCCTTGTCAGGGCCTGCCACAGCCACCGGAGCCTGGTTGTTTTCTAGAATTACGGACATTCAAGAGAGGAAAGAAGAGAAGGAGGTTGGGAAGCAGGAAGGAGGGAGGAAGAAAAGAAGGACGGAGAGGAGGAAGGGAAGGAAAGAAGAAGAAAGGAGAGAAGGTGAGAGGGAGGAAAGGAATTTCGGGGGAAGTAAAAAGGGAAAGAGGAAAGAAAGCGTGCAGGGGAGGCAAGAAATGAGGGAAGCAGAATCAGCGTTCACAGGCTCGCCCTCTTCTGCCTGCAGCCCCACTGGCTAGCACGGTACCTGCTAAATAGCAAATGTTGACAATACTTCAGTTGTGGGCTGGAGAGACCTGGATTCAATTTCCTGTACCCACATGGTAGCTCACAACAACTGAACTCTGTGACTTCAGTTCTGATATCTCCTTCTGGTCTTCACAGACAGTCATGCAAGCCAAACACCCATGCACATAAAAATAAATATTTTTAAAAGGGAAATATTTCAGTTGACAGTCAGGGGAAAGAAAAAGAAGTAAAATATCAGTCATGGTGATAGCTACGATTTCTGCTTAATAAATAAATAAATAAATAAATAAATAAATAGATAGATAGATAGATAGATAGATGCCCACATAGTCCAAGCCAAGAGTCACATAGCCACAGCCATTACCATCAGGATATAGTGTCTTTTTCCCACTGTCCTCCTCAATTTGCATAGTGGCTTCCTAATTTCCTAAGGGCAAACATATACAATGCCCTTAGTGAGAGCCCTACCCTTCTGTGGGCCATCTTATCCCAGTCCTGGTCCCCCGAAGACCTAGTCCGATCTCTCTTTTCTCCCATCCCACCATTATTTTTAGTCCTTCAATGCACCAGGCCCCTTCCATCCTGTGGCTTCTGGGAATCTGGGCCCCTCTTTTTAAACATCTTTCTTCTTGCTGTCCACTCCCCATCCTTCTCCTCCTGATCACCTGCCATGGGTGTGTCAGCTGGGACTCCAGTAAAAGCTGTTCATGGACTGAAGTGCTCTGTGAGTGCTCTTCATGTGGGCACCCGTCCTTACTGAAGAAAGCACCCGAATACTTTTGCCGTTTCACATGCACTTGCCACAGCCCTGGAAGGGCACAGGACAGGCCCATCTTTTTAAATTCCATATCCCTAGGGTCTGGCTCAGAGCACCTTTTACATCTCAGCTGAATCAGTTAGTGAAAAAAACAAATCAGTTGTCTTTCAGCTGAGCCCATCAGTCAGGCTACTGGGTGATGGATATGGAGACAGTGAGCATTCTCAAGAGAAGTTTTGAAGCCAAGGCCATCATAAGCTGGTCTGGCTAGCTACCTGTGAGTCTACTGAAAGATACAGGTAGCAGAGCCCTAGTAAGAGACTAGTAAGCGAGTGGAGTCTGGGTCAACCTCCAAGTGTCTGCTGCATCTGGGTGTCAGGCCACGTAGTCAGCCTGTGTCCCCCAGGACACCCTGAAACTTTCCTAATCTGAGTGTGACAGTCACAGGAGTTACTGTATGACAGATTAGAGACACATGTGGTGCTGACAGTGACTCTCATTTTGTCTTTTGTACCATGGTTTAGAGGCACGTGACAAGATGCAGAACCATGAAAGAAAACCAATTTTAAGCCATGCCACATCAGCTCTCATGTCCCTGATTTCCAGCCAGCTCAGGAATCTCAGGATGGTACCACCAAGTTAGACACATCTGAAGCTCAACAGTCTAGTTATCATTTCTGCTTTCCTCTCTGGGGTCAGATCTCATTTGTGTCTCACCTACCAGCCTGGACAATCACAGCCACCAAAGCAGTGGATTGCTGTCCTGAGGAATCTGTCACCATCAACTGAAACACATACTCTCCTTCCTGCATCTCAGACAAGTGGAGGTATGGGGTCTGTGCTCCCTACAAAAGAGCAAATGTGAAAAGGAAACAAAATGTAGATTATCATTAGAGAAGTCCAAGGAAACAATGTGCCATGACAGATGCTACTGGTTTCACTTAAAGCAGAGATCCTGCTTGAAAATAAGCCCAGCCCACTGTGGGTGGTGTCAACCCTAGGCAGATGGTTCTGAGTTATATGAGGAAATAGGCTGAGCAAACCCTAATGAGCAAATCTGTAAGCAGTGTACCTCTGTGGGCTCTGTTTCAGTTCCTGCCTTCTGGTTCCTGTCTTGAGTTTCTGACCTGACCTTTCCTCCCCTTTTGTTATGGTCTTTATCACAGCAACAGAAAGCAAACAAAGACTCTTGGGAAGCTGAAGCAAGAAAGTGGCAAATTCAAGGCCTGCCAGGGATACAGAGCAAGTTCAAAGCCAACCTATGTAATTTAGGAAGACCCTAGCTCAACTTTAAAAATATACAAAAAAAATATCTTTTTTTATCACTCAATGCCGGAGGTGCTTACCTAGTATACGTGAGGTTCTAGGCAGTGTGTGGAAAGACTAAAAGAAGGAAAGAAAGAGCAGGGTGTGGGATGCACGCCTTTAATCCTAGCACTGTGGAGGCAGAGGTAAGCAGAACTCTATGAGTTTGGGGCCAACCTGGTCTACCCAGCAAGCTCCAGGCCAGCCTGGACCACATAGTGAGATCCTGTCTCAAAAAAGAGGGAGGGAAGGAGAAGAGGGAGAGTAGGAGGAAAGGAGAAAAGTAAAAACAGGTGTGAATCCAAGAACATGTAGTTTTGAGTCTGTTGTGTATCCTCAAGGCATTGAAGGAAACCTCTGGAACTCAATATAGCAGTGCTGGACATGGTCCAAGAATGGAGGTGTAAGGACATTCTTAGTGCTTGAGAGGAAACTCCAAGAAACCAAGACAAGAGTCTTGTGACCTCAGTTTCTTCAAAAATATGGAACTGTGTAGTGGATAGGTGTGAGTTTGCTTGAGATTATTCATTACAAGTGGGTATTGTTATTTGTTTATATGTCCATATTGGATAAACATGTTTTTGCCATAAACAGCTTTGTTCACCATGTTTGGCTTGCCCTGTGATTGAACACTTAACTCATGTCACTCCTGTTAAGAGTGTAAACTGTCTGATGCTCTGAATAACATTGCCTATTGCATGAGACTTTAGCCTGCCTCATTTATAGGCTTCATTTTCCCAGGTCCCACAACTTCTAGAGCAGTAAACACAGCAGTATCTGCTATGGGGCATACAGAATAATAACTGCTTTTCTAATAATGTAGTTGGGTTAGTTGCTTCTAATCTTTCTCCCAAGACTAAATAAAATATTGGTCTAACAAACACTGAGTCCTTTTTTTTTTTTTTTTTTTTTTTCCCCCAACTGACCTCATGATCTAGTTGAAATACAGGACTAACTGCTTGGTTGCTGTTCTGTCTTTAGCTAGGAATGTGTGACAGCAAGGGATATAAACTTGGGGAAGACTTGTGAGTTAGGTGCTCTTCCAAATACTCCTTAGTTTGAGAAATTTATAAAATAGATTTTATGATTTAACAACCCTACACCAAGAATAGATGAATGAATGATATATAAATGTTAGATAGATAGATTTAATGATATGATATGATATGATATAAGTCTGCAGGCAGGGTAGAGGACTTGCCTGCATGACCACCTCTTTGCTCTCACCGCCAGGGCCTGGGGACCACTCATAGAGGACAATCTGGTGATCATCACTGCTCTGGTTTCCATTCAGAGTGATGGTGTTTTGGGGCAAAGTTATAGTCTGATTTGGTCCTGCATTGGCAACAGGAGGGTAGTCCACAGCACCACGGATGATGAGGGTTGCTGTGGTGGAGTTAGTAGCACCATCTGAGTCTGTGATGGTCAACCTATAAAGAAAAAAAGAAGCTCTTTCATACAAGATTGTGCCATGTCAGAAACAAATGGTCACCTTAGCTGCTAAGACTAACCATTCTCAGTAAAAGGTAAAAATCAAAACTTGAGGATGAGGCAAAGAAAGACATACAAGTCAGAGGATATTTTTCTTTGCTTCTGTTGTCATGGACTCATTTAATTTTGAGTCATAATATGTTCCCACATTGACTTAACTTTTGTGAATTTACTAGTTTTTGAGATGCTCAGTGGAGAATGTGCTTGAAAGACCTGCGGAGGGCTCGAACCCTCACACCCCGAATCAGGAAAGGTGGCCCCCCAAATCACTCACGAGAAGCAGTCTTGATGCAAAAGCATGAGGTATTTTATATTCCAGTGCACTGGGGTCTGCAGCCATACTCCATGTGGGGTAAAGGACTGGGAACCCTTGGTACAGGGTTCAGACAGCTTTTATAGGGTTACAACAAAGCCCGTGCATTACAAACCAATCATCTTAATAGCATCCAATGTGGACCAATCAATTTGAACTAGCCAAGCCCGCACTTTGCCCAGGAAGTCTGCTTTCGCTAGGGCTCCTGGGTAGTGTGGCACTGCTCATTTCCTGTTCTCATTCACTTCTGTCTGTGAACTCGCCCTGTCGTAAACAGTCAAGAATGACCTTTTGCCTACTCATTGCTAGAGGGCAGAGTCTAGGGAAAGTTAAGCTAAAATTTTCCATCCTTACATGCTCCTTCCAGAAGCTTCTCTAGACAGCTCAACTCATCCTAAGAGCATCACTAGACAACCATCTCCAACAATTCATCCTAAGAGCATCATTAGACAGCCATCTCTAACAATTCATCCTAAGAGCATCATTACTAAGGGCATTACTAGACAGCCATCTCCAACTATTTTTTTCTAAGAGCATCACTAGACAGCCATCTCCAACTATTTTTTTCTAAGAGCATCACTATGAAAGACCAAAAAGTAAAGTTAAATAAAGGACGGTCTAACCTGGAAAGCTAACCAATATCTGTTCCTTGGAATTTGCTAGCTTTCTCTCACCAGGCCCTGGGATGACAAGAATTCACACTGCCCCTCCTTTCTGCCCCTCCTTTCTTGTGAGTCAACAGGTGGTAAATAGGATCCTTAGGAAACAAAGAGATAGCTGTAACTCTGGTTTGCCCAGACAAGATTAATTAGCACACCCTGAGGCCCTAAGGTCTGCTGACCCTAATAGCGGACCATCCGGCCTCCAAGGGTCACATACTTAATGGACGGAGGGTCCCACCCCCTCCCTAAGCTTGTGGGTTTGCCTTTAAAAACACCTGGGCCCAGGGGAGGAGCCCGTTTGCAAAAAAACGCTTCCTGTTCATTAAAGCCTCTTGCGTTTTTGCAGCAACTGGACTGGACATTGAGTTCTTGGGACATCAACCGAACCTGGAAGACTCCTCATTCTAAGGGTCTTACAACTAGACAGCCATCTCCAGCAATTCATCCTAAGAGCATCACTACACACATCTTTCTAATTACGCAAGCTAAGAGTGTTGCCAGAAGCTACTTCTGCCTTCCATCTTGAGCATTTATTGACTGAACTACTTGTGAATTTCAGCTAGAAAGCCCTCAGTTTCTAAATTCATTTCTAGAGGATTTTCTACAAGCATGCTTTCAGGACATTCTTTGAAAAGCATTTTAAGGTTAAGCATTTTCAAATACACACAAATGCTCAACATACACACACCAAAAAAATAAAGGAAGGAAAGTAGGAAGAGAGGGAGGCAGGGAGGGAAAGACAGAGAAAGAGGAAGAAAGAAAGAGAGACAGAGGAAGGAAGGAAGGAAGGAAGGAAGGAAGGAAGGAAGGAAGGGAAGGAAGAAAAAAGACCAAACAGAAAGCGAAAAAACCTGCCCAGGCTCTCCTGTACTGAAATGATGCCTCCTGTGGTCCCAAGAACAGTGCAATCTCTACTACTCATTTCACCCTTGGAGGAGGCAGGGAGTGGGGTGAGGTGTTCTGGGAGCTAAGCTGCATAAACAGGAAGAGAGAACAACAGCTCAGGGTAAAGTGTATATCAGGGTCATTTGCACCTTCTGGGCTTCCTTTTACACTGTCCCACAAACTCCACACAGACAAAGGCCAAACTCCGCCTCAGCCCCGACCATAAACAAAACCCCTGGGGTCTCTACCTTCAGAACTTTAACCCAAGTAAGGGGGAAAAAAGAGAGAGAGAGAGATGGATTTAAAGTTGCATGTGAATAGGAAAAGTGCTTAAATACCATACTGTTCAAGTGCTCATTTTTAGGTCATGGGTGTAGGGGAAATATTTCATTTCCTCTGCTTGGTGTTATATTGTGTTTATTTTTATAGAAAGTAACACTTTCAAGAAACAGTGGGAAAACACAACACAGGTGGGACCCACTTGCCTAAAAGTGTAGTTACCAGGATCTAGGTTCAACAAGCGTAACACTGGGGCATCAGCCGGAAACACCTCTCCTAGGACAGGCCCGTCAACTTCTTCCCAGTGGTAACTCACTACCTTAGTGTCATCTGAGCTTCCTACAAAGATGAAGAAAACGACATCCAGAATGGGTTACAGGAACAGTGAGCTGAAAGCCTTACAACGTTGTGAAAACTCAAATGTGTTTGGTAGAAATATACATCTGCACAGATCTCAGTGACATACATTGTGCATTGCTGCAATCTCCCAGTCCCTAAACTGTCAGCACTGTTTTTCCAGACATGCATAGGCTTGAGAAGGGCTGTTATAACTGGTTGAATATTTAAAAAGCAGAGGGACAGGTACTGTAGCGCAGAATGCAATGCCTTGACATTCAGCTCCTACTTATCTTGGTGACTGGTGACATTCTGCCGACAGCTTTACATAGATATCTGAACTAACAGGTTCTTGAACACATTAAGAGCTGATTATCTACAATTTACAAAACCCCTTTACCATATTAATGATTAAAATATAAGCCCTGAAAAGAACTGGATCATGCATGAAAATGTACCCACTTAAAAGAACAAACCAGGGTAGGACTGAGAAGATGGCTTTGCACTTAAAGGCACCTGCCACTATAGTTGACAACCTGAGTTATGGTTGACAAGGTGGAATGGAAGAACTGACTGTCAAAAGTTGTTCTCTAGGACTATAATTCAGTGGTACAGTATTTAACTATAATGCACATAAAACCTTGGGTTTCATCCCTAGTGGTGAGAAGAGGGGAGGGGTAGTTTGGCATGGTCGTTCATGACAATTCAGGAGACTAAGTCAAAAAGTATCTCTATGAGTTCAAGGCCAGACTGAACTACATAGTGAAACCTTGTCTCACAAACAAACAAAAAGACAAGCATCAAATTTATCTAAGGATATAAGTTAATATAGCCAACTAATAATCCTGTGTGATTTTTATAACTAAGATGCTCTGAATCAAAAGGTTTTCAAAAATTTGGACCTTTTCTTATACAATTGCTTCTATTTAAAGTGTTCTCTGTCAGCTAGGCATGGAGGCTCACAATCTATAACCAAGGGGCTGAAAGCATTACAGGGCTAAGGTCAACCTTAAGTACATATCTCACCCTAAAGAACATTGCATTTGTTTGTTGTTTGTTTTAGACAGTGTTTCAAATATCCCAGGCTGGCCTGGAACACCTAAGTAGCTGAAGGTGATCTTGAATTCCCTGTCCTCCTGCCTTTGCCATCCAAGAGCTAGGATTACAGGCATGTAATTACTTCCAGCTGGGAGTTAAAGAGTCTAAAACAAGAAGCTACAAGAGACAGTGGTTCATCCAGATTTAACAAGTGTTCTTGGCCTTGACACAGAGTACTCAATCTGACAGTACAAGCAAACGGAAACCACCCAAACATGGAGGATACACACGGCTGCCATCGAGGAGGGCTGAGGTCAAAGGCACAGTGAGTTCCTGTATCTGTGGAGAAACAACTGCCACAGGTGGCTGGTTGACTCTTGCAGCTGTGGGACAGAAAAAAACAGACAGCAATTAAACCAACGTCACACACAAACAAAGGCATCCTTTCTAAAGCTTATTCTGAACATCCTGTAGAGGCTCCCTGGGTCTCAACTGTGGAAAACTAAACTTTTATATCCCCACCCATGGATTTTGAGTCTATCTGTCAATTTACATAACTATAGATAATCCTGGGCTCAAGAGCTGAGTCATAGAATGTGTACGGTGATTACAGAAAAGGAAGTCTAGATTGCAGGGCCTTGAACTCAAGCTCCTCAGTCTCCTTCATGGCAACAGAACTCTAACTAAGACAGTGTCTAAGGCAAAAATAGAAGCATATGTATTAAACATTATCAGGTCCAAACTCCAAAAGGCAGTCCAAATATCCAGAGAAGAGCTCAACTAGACTACAGGAGGATTTCTGGTGGTTAGATAAAAGCCAGCATTCCTCAGGAATTTGTGGAGCTAGTTCCCTCTTATCAAAAGGAGTCATTTCCCCTACCTCTGGCAGAAGGGACATATGGCTCCCCTGTGGTGCCTTTCCACATATCAAAGCCTATGCTGGCTTCCAGGCTGCCTCAGTATCACAAGAACCTTTTACAAAGTCCATGCTAGCATCTAGCCCTTCTCACCTCCTCCCTTGCCCTAAACTCCCTTCAGTTCACTGCATTCCCTCCCCCAGCTACTCCGTCTCCTTATAACCTTGGTATTCTTGCTATGTTCTCTCTATTCTTTGTCCAGTGCTAATCTCCCCTCTCTCACAGACAACCCTGGCAGTGTCCAGTCTGCGGGTGATGTTGTATACTTCTTTCTCTTTCTGCTCTGGACTCTTCCAGGTGCCTCTGACTGTTCTTCCACCCCCCCCACACCCGACCCCCATATCTACAATGGAAACCTTCCCTTTAACAATACCATGGAGCAGTCATGTCATCAGTCTGTACAACCATGGCATCCAGGTGCCAGAACAGGTGCTAGCACAGCCAAAAGGCCATTCTCCCAATGGAGTCCCAACCAACTCACCTGGCAGAACAGTGACATTGACATATCCTTCTCCAAATGCATTCTCACTAGAAACAGCCACTCTGAAGGCATACAGTCCCACAGACAACTGCAGTGTGAAAAAAGACATAGGGGAAAGCATCTAATGACATGGGAATCTACCTTCTAGAATAGTGTCCCAAAGGCTTGGGAGGAAGCCTCATTTCAGCCTGTCTAGGACAGCTATAAACGTAGAGCTGCACTCTAGGATACATAGGCCATTTGCTTAGTTACAGATGTCACAAGTATTACATCAGCCTAGGACAGCTGCTCTTGGATGAGTATGTATGGAATTGTGCTCTATTTTGGGTTTGGGGGGTAGTGCTCAATGTTGAAAGTGAGCCCAGGGCCTCACCTATGTTCAGCAAAGTCCCTACACTGATCTGCACTCCAATCTGGAATCACACATTTCTAACATACAAGTTTACAGAGTTACTGGCAGAAGTCTGGGTGCCACACTTTGAGAAACAGCTTAGTCGTATGGCAGTGATGTGAGCTTGATATGGCCTTGCAGGAAGACATTCACCTGATAAGAAACCAGGCCCCAGGATATTAAGTCGGTGTGTTCTTGGAGCCAAGGCAGTGACATGTGTCTTCCTGCGTGTGGAGCAGTATCTAGCAATCTAAACAACTTGTCAGCTAGAACAGAACTACTGGAAACTCAGAGCATGCCTGGTGGACACCTGAGATATGTTTAACACTGTAAAGACTACAAGAAGTAGAATCCAGACTTTGAATCCACCACACAGTGTGAGCTCCTGAGCTAATAGCATGCCAAGCAATTCAACCGAAGACAAGCTACTGAATGTCTCACTTAACCATCCATCTGCCTAGTTGAGCTTTATTTATAACTTTCTGATTTTCTTTTGAGACAGGAGATCTGACTATTTTGCCCAGGCTGGCCTTGAACTTCTGAAATCAAACTATCTTCTTGCCTCAGTTTCCCAAGTAGCCGAGACTGCAGGCACAATTGCCATCATGCCTAGCTTCTTCATTAGTTTTTAGTCCTAAGAGAGAATTTGGGGCTCAACAGCAAGGATGTTGCTAACTAGAGTCTAAGGTGCACAACCTGCCTTGTTACTTACTTGAGAGAGATGAAGAATCGGCTTGTTTCCTTGTTTGATTTTACCTTGAAAGTCATCAGGGTGGCTCATTAAACTCCATTCATAGCTGTAAGTTGTGTCTGAGAACAAATCAGAAACAAGAACGGTTATCGGGTCTGAGATAATCCTAAGGAGGAGAGAGCCTTAAACCAACAAGTACCAATGGCCTTTGATACTCAGAGGTCTGCTTTCAACCATTATCCCAGTAAGGAAACACAAGGTCTCTGTATCTTTGCAAATAAATCACACACACACACACACACACACACACACACACTTTTATCGTGCAAGTATACAAATGCTAGAAAATAGAGGCTAAACATTAAACTCCACAATCTCATGGTTAACATTTGAAAACCTTCCTTCTAGGTTTTTTCTGACACCTCATTATCCATATAATTCCTTTTTTTTTTTTTTTTTTAATGGACAGGCTGTCACAAGCTCTGGCTGGCCTGGAATTCGATATGTAGACCAAGACCAAGTCTTCCAAATCACAGAGATCTGAGTGTCTGAGTGTCTCTGCTTCCCTAGTGCTGAGATTAAAGCCATGCAAAGGCATACCCACCTCTACATACACCTAAATGTATAATCCACTGTATCTTTTCTCTTTTCAATGACATTTATAGGGGTTTGTTAAGGCACAAAGTTACTTCATAATCTCTATCTTGAACTAAAGCTGTCTGAAGCTTTTAGATGGCAGTATAGTATCTCGTCTCATCTTAAGGGACTGGGATGCAAATGACAGGCATGAATGTCTCTGATTACAAAGCTTTGACCCATTTGACCTGGATGAGAACCAAATACTTTAAGAATGGTCTAATTAAGGAAGAGTATACTGATAGGCTATAGAAATGACTCAAATGCTCAGGAATAGTGGGGCACTGGGTAAGAAGAAGGTAAGCATTGCCAACTTGGCATTACATTTAAGTTTATGAGTGTGTATTTTATGTGTTTTTATATGTGTTTGTATGTGTGTGTGATATGTGTGTATGTGTATGATATGTATGAGTGTAGGTGTGTGTGTACCATGGCACATGTGTAGAGGTCAGAAGACAGCCTCAAGTGTTGACCCTCTACTTGTAACTTGTTTGAGATGGGGTCATTGAACATTCTCCACTGCACAATGAAGGGCCCTGCATGGATTCCCGGAGGCACCTTGAGCAAGCCTGAGGCTGTTGGCCAGAACTCCTTGCCCCAAAGTTGTTATTGGTATTCTTCCTATTTCGATAACACACACCTTGTGGGGAGGAGCTAAGCTTGAAAATCCTGTTATTTTCCACTGTGCTCTATTTAAGTCCATTATATCCCCTCAATAAACGGCATTCGGCATTTGGCATTCCAACATTGCCATTGAACAAATGACCCGCTCGCTGTCTTGTCTCTTATTTCAATCTCTAGTCCTTTGCCCGATTTGTGGAACAGATTATAGCCTAGCTTTGTCTCCCACCTTGTCACAGGAGTGCTGGAATTATAGGCGAGCTACCACATCTGACTTTCTATCAGTTCTAGGGATCTGAATGCAGGTTCTCAAGCTTGTGTGGGAGGTGTTTTATCCATGGCACCTCCCTAGCCTATGGACATCTTTTGAGCAGCTGCCCTGGAATATTGTGAGAATTGCTGAGCTGTGTTTCTAATACTACAGCATCAGCAAGCAAGCCCACCATGCATGTAACTGGCTCCTCACAATGGAATCTTCGTGACTTCTGTGGGTTTCACAGATCGAGATCTTGCAGGTGGCAACCCCTGCTCTCTCGTGTCATAGTGTGATCTTCCAGTGTGACCAGTTAATGATGCACTATACTGAACTTCCCAGACACCTACTGCTAACTCAGTAAACTTTGGCCATCTCCTACTTCGGAATGTTGTAGGAAGGATGCATCAAGCCTAAAGCCTGGGAGACCTGGGAGAGAACACAGGAGTCCCACCAGTCACTGAGTTACCTAAGAATGTCAAACTCTCACCTGCAGGGGGCGCTGGCTCAACAGAGGCCTTCAGTTCTGCTTCACAGTCTGGTAAGGTTATCACAAGGTTATCTCCAGCAGACACTGCCAGCACCTTCACTAAAAGTTAATTAGAAACAGTGCATGCCATTATGTGATACAATGTCTCCATAATATTATACCTGTTCTTAGAATGATCATTCCTCATATAGTTTTATCTAAGGCACCCCGCCCCAGGCTAGTGCCCTCTGTTATGCTGCAAGACAGACTTTGCAAATTTAAAACTTCCTATATGAGTGTCACTGTGAAGAAAATGACCATTCAAAATAAGCCACGTGTGGTTAGTAGTTTGCCAACAGATGGAGGACTATTGATTGAGTTGGTTTTCTCTGTTGCAACCGGCTTTGCCTGACCCCCTGGTGAGTGGTCCTTACTTACAAATAGGTCAAGAGTGCTCATAGGTCATTAGCCATGCTGCTCAGATCCGGGTGCCTCATAAATGGCTGCTAATGACTTTGCTCTTGGAGTCTTTCCAACAGGAAATCCAGGCAAGCTCCGTATGAAAAGATAATTTAACTCCAGCAGCAGGGACATTAACTCTTATCAAAAGCACTTTCCTGCTAAATCAACAAAGCTCATTTACTGTACCACCTGAATAGCACCGATATAGTCCTACTATGGCTTGTCTCAACTGGGTACTAGTTTCACTGTCATTCATATTTAGTTCAGAATAACCTATTTAAACCAAGCTTACCGAGAGCTGAGAAAGGCTGTGCCATTCTCAAAGACACCCAATATTCCCATATCACCATTAGCAACCAGGGACCCAATCCCAGGGCAGTTTCTCTTCCTCACACAGCTTCTCTTTCACCACAATCCTCTCCTCACTGAAGTTCAGAACCAAAGTCAGTAAGAGTGAAGATGGAGAAGCATCAGGGAACCAGAAGTGAGCAGCGCTGGTTCAGGGGCCACTGGAGATACACGAGTCAGGCCTCAAATGTAGCTGAACCTTTATGTTTGGAGTGGTGCTATTATTTGAGACAGAATCTTATGTAGCCCAGGGTGGTCTCTTACTTCCCATATAGTCAGGATTGATCTTGAACTCCTGATCCTCCTGTTTCCATTTCCCAAGTGCTGGGATGACCAACTTGCACCTCCACACTCAACTACGGTTCAGTCTTTGAACCAGGCTGTAGCTACAGCCACCCTCATATTCCAGTTGACACTGGAAGCATCAAGCCCCACTTCTGAACAACTGATCTGGTTTTAGTTTTTATTTAATTTTATTGTTGCTATAACAAAATCCCCGATAGAAGGAAATGTTATATTTTGGGTCACGTGTGAGGGTACACTCCATCAAGGCAGGGAAGGCAAGGCAGTGGGAGACAGTTCAAGACAGCTGATCACACTGTGTTCACACTCGGGAAGAAGAGAGCGCTCACTTTTTCCTTTTCATGTCATGGAAAGTGCTGCTCATGGATGAGGTCTTCCCACCTCGGTGAACCCAATCTAGATAATCCTTCCCATCCTGCACTCCTCTCTTGCCCCCTCCACCCACAAAAACAGTTCTAGCCAACTGATCTCCCTCTGGTTCTTCCAAAATGTTGTATAAGTCTTGTCCTCTCTTCTACACACGATGGTGGAGGTTCAGAGAATAACAATCTCAAGACTAGTGATTTCCCATGTAGAGAAGCTGTAGAAGCTACAGAACATTGCAGGTTCTTCTGACCTGTTTCTCCTGCTCGTAGTACCAGGACAGGTTTTCTGCAGGTCCCTATATCCCCATCAAAGACACCCCCATAAAACACAACTGCCTTGTTTTTTTGCTGAAAGTTCATTAACAAGAAATACGAAACACTCGCTGCTAGTGTTGCACAGGCCAACTCCATGTGAGCTGGCTCACCCTAACCTGCCAGGCCCTTTTCCAGAAAGGTTTCCTGATTCTCCTGGTGGGTCAAGTAATCTTCTTCTGCTGCCACAGCATCCTCTGAGCCATCTAACCTGCCAGTCTCCTCTCCTGCTTTTTAGAGCCACAGAGGAAAAAGAGGGAACACCAGTCATCTTTTCACTCTGGTTACATAGAATGGTATCTGGGGCCAAAGGGAGCGGTAAGCCTTAAACACTGTCACTGCTAGATTCTGCCTCTGTGGTAAAGTTCTCCTCACTGTATTTTTCCAAAGTTACCTGTCCTGGAAGAAGTAGTGGGTGACACAGACCACGCAGGTGGCGTCAGCCCAGGGAGAACTGTACTGGTGGGAAATGTTGGGGCGCTGTGTTCTGTGCTTCGTGGAGTGATTGTAAGAACGGAGCTTTTCTCTACCGTGGCTGGGCTGGACTCCATGCTGGCAGTGGGAGGACTATGTGAAGACATTAGAACCTGTGGGATAAATTAACAAGGGTATATTGTTATGAAAAAAAAAATGTTCATTTTGATGGAACAACACAAATATGGGCAGTGGATTGTTCGTGCTGACCCTCTCCAAATTCATGCACTGAATCATACTCCCATGGCATGGCTTTTGGGTGAGGGGGAGGCAGAGTAGGTGGTCAAGTCATGAGGATGAGAACCCTCATGAATAGAATCAGTGTCTTCATGACAAGACAGAGCTCAGCGGTGGTACAGGCTCGTAATTAGAGCATCAACAGCTGAGGCAGTAGAAATGCTGGTTTTGAGGTGAACTTCAGCTATGCAGCAAGTCCTTGTCTCAAAGAAAGAGAAAATGAGGCCAGGGGAGGAGAGGAGGAGAAGGAAGGGGACAAAGAGAGAAGAAGGAAGAGAAGAAAGCAGAAAGAGGTAAGGAGGAAGGGAAGGGTGACATGTGCTTTACTCTCCACAAGGCTGATCTTGATAGGTTTTCTATAGATGGTCTATTCAAAGATGCTGTGGCATGAATAGTGCTGCTATGTCACATGGGGAGATGCATGTATTCCTCTTAAGTGCACACTAGAAGTGCACCTGCTGGGACACATGCTGGGGTGATGATGTATATCATTGCTGAAGAGCTGGGAATAGCAAACCAACTTCCCAAGGCATCTGCAACTCTGTGCACTCCATCCGCCTCGTATGAGCACTGCAGCTTCTCTACTAACACTTCTTACTTCTATCTAGTCCTGCTGCTGCTGCTGCTGCTACTGCTACTGAAAACACTCAGGGCTATGGACCTTGAACTACTACTCTTCACCCCAGTCATTCATATATATATATAATTCTAGCCATCCTGATAGATGTGAGGTAGTACTACATTTTGTATTCAACTTCTTTGGCATGTTTTATTTATCGAGAGTGCTTGGATTCTAGACACGCACCACCATTCGTCCTTTACCGACTTTTTTAGATCAGATTGTTTTCTTATTGTTAAGTTGTAAGACTTATTTACATTTCTGCATATAATGTTATGGCATAAGATTCACAAATATCTTACCCCATTCTATAGATTGTCCTCTCTTTCTTGATGTTGTTATTTGGGATGCAAAAGTACTTAATTATGATTTAGTGAAATTTATCCTTTTTTAAATTTTTACTTCTTTTTGCTTGCTTGTTTTGAGACAGGGTTCTCTAAGTAGCTCTGGCTGTCCTGAAACTCACAATGTAGACCAGACTGGCCTCAAACTCACAGAGATCCTCCTGCCTCTGCCTCCTGAGTGCTGGGATTAAAGATGCACAGCATTGTTTTTGCCAAATTTTGATACCCTGTACAAAAAGGTAATTATCTAACCCTAGTTACCAAGGTTTACTATTGTTTTAACTCTTATCATTTAGGTCTTTGGCACATTTCAAGATTTTTTAAAATATAAAATGTAAAATAAAAAAGCTATAACTCATTCTTGTGCATGTATTATTGGAGCTTTGAGAATGATAACACAAACCAAATGCTTCAAAAGCCAAGTTTCCCTCTGGCTTTCTCCTGTGCTCATTCTCAGCAAGCCACAGAAGCTAGAGGTCCTTTTTCCCGATTTGTCAAGAATCTTACACACTGTTTTCCTTTTAAAATTCTTCAAGGAGCTAGGGAGGAGCTCAGTCATTTAGCATGGCCGAGGCTGAGTTGTAGCTAAAGATAGCATGAACCAGGGGAACCCTGCAGTTCCAGTGCTCAGGAGGCAGAGGCAGGTAAAACTCTGTGAGTTCACAGCCAGAGACCCTGTCTGCAAATAATTCGATAAAATAAAATAAAAATGGGAATTCTGAAAGTTCCCTAGGTTCTCCATTCACTTCTTCCCAACTCTGTTCCGATCACCGCCAAGCTCCAGATTCTTACATTCTCTTTAAGACCAGCGGTCTCTCAACCACGTAGACGCTGAGACCTCCAGCACTTCTGTCTTCACAGGATTCATTCCCTGCTTTTGCCATTTCTACTCTCCCAGTGACTTTGCCCTCCCCCACTCCCTCCCTGCACACTTTTTAAAGTGTTGGGAGATTCATCCCAGGGTCCGGTGATCCAATGTTCTACCACTGAGTCATTGTACCCCTATTGGGTTTTCTTTCTTTCTTTTTTTGGCAATGGATCTCATTGGCAGGCCTTGACCTCCTCCAGTCATGGTCCTCTTGCCTCTGCCTCCTGGGTAGTTGAGACTACTTGGGAATTAGACCCTCGTTCTTTTCCCACCAGGGTTTTACATGGAAGTTCTGTGATTCTTCCTACCTATCAGCTTCACTGTGTCTCTGGTACCTTCCTAGTCACCTAGTTAAGTGGCAGGGCTGACTGTGGTCGAGTGAAACTTCACATCTGTCTACCACTGGAAATTTTCAAAGTCTCCGTGGTGTGGGTGTGGGTGTACGCACGCGTGCACATATATGCTGGTTCCAGGGCCTTCTGTGAAGTCTTCGTTAACATCAATTAGCCATAGAGAATCTAGAAGAAAGGGCTCTTGGGTAGATGACCTGGGAAGGGGCAGCTCTGTGTCCATTTCAAACTGCCTGCTTAGAAAAACATGGCAAAAGAAGGCTATGTGTTTCCGGCTAGGCTCTGACATTCATCCTCGGCTTCCTCAAGCCTGAAGGAATCTGGCAGAGCTTAGCCATTGTGCCCCTTCCCTTGCCCACCCCAACACGTCTCGAGCACACCCACCTCTTTTCCAGAGCTATTGCTCCGTTGTTCTTGGAGCTGTAAAGTCTCTGTCTGTGTCCCCTCTCCTGCAGGTAAAGCAGTCACAGAGGGGAGCTGCACACTCTCTGCAGAGTGCAGGGGTGGCGTAGGGGACCAAGTGGACTCATTCAGGGCCTCCAGCTGCCTCTGGTCCAGTGACTCGGGTGTGGGGTCCTGCAGCTTCTCTGTAGAAGCAGCTGAGCTATCTTCTGCAGCCGAGACATTGGAACCTCCCTCGCTGCCTGGCAGCAGGCTCCAGTCAGGGTACTCAGCGCTGCCTCTGGGGTTCTGTGGGTTGGAGGGCTGCGGGAGGCCCTGCTCCAGTTCCTTGTAGTCATCTGAGTACTCAGCAGTCTCTTCCGGTCCCTCATCTTTTCCTAGAAAGGGCAAGTCCTTCCTGAGGTCCTCAAGGGAGTCCCCCCAAGCTCCAGAGGGGGAACCCCTGCCCAGCATCATGTCTCCGTAGTCCAGCAGCTGCTCCGGCTTCTGGACAGGTCTGTGCACGAAAGTGAGGTAAGACCGGACGGGGCCTGTCGTCCTGGGCTCGCAGTTCTCTGGGTGCATGCAGTTTACTAGGTAGCAGCTGCCCTCAAACCACCAGGCCAGGTCGCAGCTGGGCAGGTCACAGCAAGCGGCCGTGCAGTCTCCCACGGAAAAGGTTTGAGACACCCGCATGATTCTAACAGTTTCCAGGTTAGGTGAAATGATGGAGTTGGAATAAGTCCTCCCCTCGCTGCACTGCTGGCACCTGCCACCTGAAGACCAGAGAGGCACCAACATTCAACACCAAAGGTCAAATTGGTAAGTAGACAAACTTCAAAAGAAGAAACACAAATGCCCAATAAGTATAGGAGAAAATATCCAAGCCGCACAGTACACCTTTAATTCCAGCACTTGGAGGACATTCAGAAGTTCAAGGACATCCTTGAGAGCTGGAGGCCAACATGAGTGAACTACATGGGACTTGGTCTCAGGAAACAAAACGAAACTGAAGTTCATATGCAGAATCTAGATTTAAAGACATATGTCATATATGCACATGTTCATGCTATGAAAGTAAAAGGGAAACTATAGGAAGAGGAAGGTTCTGAAAGGAGAGGCAGGGAAGGCTCATAGAACATCATGCTTTCCCTGGTTTATGTGTATAGATATATGTGATATGAAAGAAAAAGCATGGGCTGGAGAGGCGACTCAGCAGTTAAGAGCACTAATTGCTCTTCCAGAGGACATGGGTTTAATTCCCAGCACCCACATGACAGTTATACAACTATCTGTAACTCCAAGATCTAACACCCTAACACAGACATACATATAGACAAAACACAAATGCACATAAAAAGTGTGGGAAGCCACAGCCCCAAGATGGCTTCTGGCTGGATGCCAGGTAGTCAGAGCTTAGCTGTAAACAAGCCTTATTTGGAAGTGCTTGATGGATCTGGTGCCTTTCCGGGATCGCCAGGTGGCATGAGCTGATTGGGCAGTGAGCGCATATTTAAGGGCTTGCTGGGGCTGGGGGAAGCAGAAGCTGATGTACAAAGTTCCTGAATAAACTGCTTGAAGAAGAGTCGTGGTTGTGTTTCCTTGCTGGCCAAGGTAGACACGATGAAAAAGAAAATAAATTATTAAAGAAAAGAAAAAGGAAAAGCACAATTTTGAGGGAGGGGGGATGGGAGAAGAAACTGGGCTACAACAATGTGTATGAAATGTCACAATGAAGCCTTTTTTAAAAAACGATTTGTAATTATTTGTTTGTGCAAACACACACACACACACACACACACGTATCACGAAGGTCAGAGTTGGCTATGGGAGTTGGCTCTCTTCTACCATGTAGGTGTCTCTCTCAGGGAATGAACTACTAGGTTATTGAGTTTGGCAGCAAGTTCCCCCTCAACCTGCTGAGCCATCTTGCTGGCCCAAAGTCTATTTTTTTTTTTTTTGCACTAAAAATGCTATGTGTATGTATGTATGTATGTATGTATGTGTGTATATGTGTGCATGTGTGTATGTATGTATATGTACATTCCAGAGAAGTCACTCCAGAAAGCCAGAGGCTCCCCATCCCTAGCTGTGCAGCCAGCCATCAACACTCCCTATTGAAGGGTCCACTGCATGTCTCATCCACACTGTCACCTGTCTTTCTACTGGTTCATCCATTTGTCACTCGCTTATTCACCCACCCACTTGTCCACCCAATCCTCTATTCCTCTAATTTTCTATCCACATATATTCTTCCAACTGTTCATGTACCTTTTATCTATGTATCCTGTTACTTCATATAATTCCATTCTTCTTTACTTGTGTCTCCTTTTCATGTAACTCACTTACATGAAACTTATATAACTTACAATAGCCCTAGTGTAAAAAAGTTGTTAGAGAAATAACAGAAAAGCACTGTATCTTTGGTTATTAATAGATTTTTTTTAATTCCACAAGCTATCTGTGATAGATCATCTGAAAGGAAAATGTCTAAGGAAGTACATATCTATAATCAAGTTTTCATTTGTTTGTTTGTTTTGAGATGGATCTCATTATGTAGTCCTACCTAACTTGGAACTCACGGAGATCCATCTGCTTCCCAAGTGCTGGGATTAAAGGCATGCACCACTATGCCTTGTTTTATATTCCACTAGTTTTGGTTAAATTTTCAATAACGAGCTATCAATCTTTCTGAAGAGTCACTACAACAGGCATTGGCAAGTGTTTGTAGAGTGTGGTCTGTTAGTTTTAGTGTCAACAATAGAGGAAACCCCCAATAGCACAGGATTTCCTTCCTAGTGAGGACTCACCATTAAAATTTATTTTACTAAATGCTTTTTAGTCACAAGAGGGCTGTCAGACATTGTTTCTAACAGGGAACATGTGAAAATGGCTGTATGATGTATAGAAATACCTCGATGTTACCTGTACACAACATCGCTGTGATAGATTTTTACTAGGATAATGTTAGCATGGTAGGTAGCTTGATAGTCTCATAACACAATGCCAGAGCCAGGAAGACAGCTCAGTCAGTAAAGACACGCGCTGCCAAGACCTGGACCCACACGGTAGGAGAAGAAAACTGATCTCTACAAGCTTGCCTCCACACACATGCCATGATACTTGTGCGTGCATGCATGCACATGCACCCGTGTGCGCGCGCGCGCGCGCGCGCACACACACACACACAGAGGCACACACATCAGTTCTGTGGAAAGACGATTCCATCCGAAGTGAGAAGAATTAGATATACCATCTATGTTCCTTTTCCAATTAAAAAAGCAACACAAATCTAGCTTTCAAACACATGAATAGTTTTGGTCTTTTTATTTTTCAGAGAAAAGCTAGATCTCAGACATGGAGAAAACACTAATTTACTATAGCTGAACACAACAAAACAGCCCCCTTAAAAAGATCAAGAAAGGAAGGGGTGAAGCAGAGAGGTATGGTAACACCCAACCTCTCAAACACATGGTATTTTTATGGCTACCATTGCATCTCTCCGTAATTTATATGAAGACCTAATCCCTGACCCACATGGTCAGATGTGCTTTCCTTCCCTTGAAGGCATGTGTCCTGTCCAGCAGCTAGTGACTCCGAGCAAAAGTTCCTGTCCACAGGAGCCATGGGAGCTGGCTTTTACAACTCTTCCAGGAAACAGTGATGTCCCCTGGTAAGGGTTTCCTACCTGTGATGGTGAACAGCAGCGACAATAAGCACAGTGCTCCTGCTGGGGACACCATTCTGTCTCATAGGACGAGGCTTCCAAGGCAGTGGATTTGGAACAGGCTCCCTTTGATGGTTGATGAGCCAGATGTAGCCTCTAGAGCTTCTAAGAAAACAAGACGGAGACAAGGAATAAGAAAGGGGTAGGTAAATGAGGAAATATGTTGTTCCTATCATTTATGTATGTTAATAGAAAAACTGTCCCCATTCACAGAGTGGAGATGTATCCAAAGCAGCCATCTCTCCAGAGAAACTGGTTAAAATAGCCAGGACAGTTAGTTCCTATGAAGATATAAAAGAAGAAGAAGAAAAAATCCGGGCATAGTGACACATACCTTTAACTTCAACACTCAGGAGGCAGAGGCAGGCAGATTCTGTGAGTTTGAGGCCAGTCTGGTCTACACAATGAGAGTTACAGGACATCCAGGGCTAAATAGTAAGACCCTGCCTTGGGAAAACAAACAAACAAGAAAATAAAACAAAACAAGCAAAAAGAATGAAAAGATGAAAGGTTTTATGTCAGCTCACCCTACAAATGGCAGAAATAAAGACCAATCAAGTAAGAAAAGCAAGGCTCTATATTCACAGTGTGTCGTGGCACTACAAATTGGCAGAGACTCAAGGGCAAAGGACTGGCAACTCTGTAGTGGATAAAGGGAAGGCTTCAGTGTGCTTGGAGAAGAGGCTGCTGCTGCCGGAAGCCACCTGACTAACTACAAGTGGAGTATCCCATGATTGGTATGGGGAGCTAGCTGTACTGGATAGTTTTATGTCAACTTGACACAAGTTGTCATCATCTGACAGGAGGGAGCCTCAATTAAGAAAATGCCTCCATCAGGCCGATCTCTGTGAGCTGGAGGCCAGCCTAGTCACAAAGCAAGTTCTTGGAGAACCAGGACTGTTATACAGAGAAACTCTTAAAACAAACAAACAAACAAACCAAAAAGCAACAAAAAACAAAACAAAACAAAGAAAAAAATAAATGCCTCCATAAGATTGGGTTGTAAGCAAGCTGGTAAGGAACTTTCTTTTTTTTTTTTTTTTTTTAATTTTCTTCCTTCCTTCCTTCCTTCCTTCCTTCCTTCTTTCTTTCTTTCTTTCTTTGTTTTTTTAAGACAGGGTATCTCTGTGTAGCCTTGGCTGTCCTGGAACTTGCTCTATAGACAAGACTGGCTTCAAACCCAAAAAGATCCACCTGCCTCTGCCTCCCAAAAGCTGGGGTTAAAGACATGTACCATCATTGCCTAGCCAAGGCATTTTCTAAATTAGTGATTGATGGGGGAGGGCCCATTGCATTGTGGGTGTTGCCATCCTGGTCTGTTGGTCTTCAGTTCCCTAAGAAAGCAGGTTAACAGCCGTGGGGAACAAACCAGTAAGCAACACCCCTTAGTGGACTCTACATCAATTCCTGCCTCCAGGTTCCTGCCCTGATTTCCTTCGATGATGAACATTGATATGTAAGTGGAAGCCAAATAAACCCTTTCCTCCCCAACTTGACTTTTGGTCATAGTGTCTCATGGCAGCAATAAAAACCCAGACTAAGTCAAAAATATACTAGCTATTTTTGGTTGGTCCCAAAGGAAAAAGAGGTTAAAATTTAGGGAAGCTGTCAATTATTTAAGTCCTGCCTACTTGCTGCTAGCTTCTGTACACACTATTACTTAGTCTCATGAAGTACTAGAGATGGTGATCCAGCTTCCCAGAAATCTCTTGGCAGACTGGCTTCCTGTACTGTCTGTTATAGATAAAGAACTGGGTTTCTGGGCAGGTTTCCATGAGTTGATGAGTTGTGGGTCAGAGTTCTACTTTTATAAATGGTTCAATTACTGATATTTGCATCTTCAATGTCTCAGAGCCCATATGCCCTATTCTCTCTCTCTCTCTCTCTCTCTCTCTCTGTCTCTCTCTCTCTCTGTCTCTTTCTCTCTCTCCTTGGTTTTTTGAGACAGGGTTTCTCTGTGTATAGCTTTACCTGTCCTGGAACTCATTCTGTAGATCAGGCTGGCCTCAAACTCACAGAGATCTGCTTGCCTCTGCCTCCTGAGTG